CGATAGGAGGAGGTAGTGCTGGGAGGAGCGAGAGAGGAGGAGGTAGTGCTGGGAGGAGCGAGAGAGGAGGAGGTAGTGCTGGGAGGAGCGAGAGAGGAGGAGGTAGTGCTGGGAGGAGCGAGAGAGGAGGAGGTAGTGCTGGGAGGAGCGAGAGAGGAGGAGGTAGTGCTGGGAGGAGCGAGAGAGGAGGAGGTAGTGCTGGGAGGAGCGAGAGGGGAGGGAGTGCGGGAAGATCGAGGAGCGACGATGAGGCAGAGAGAGGGGAGGAGGCAGAGATGACGGTGGAAGGGGAGGGAGGGAGGGAGCGCAGGAGGAGAGAGGATAAGGATGAGGAGGCTGACTTCTAGCGGCAGGTTGTCAGGATGTCTCGGCTACAGGAGCGCATCCTCGAGAAAGTGCGGGAGGAGCTGATGAATTTGTCCTAGTTGTTCTCCTCATCATGCCCAATAATTCTTCCAGAGGTCCCCCAAACTTCCTCGCGGCCGCCCCTGCCATGTCCTCAGCCTCCTCCTCCTCCTCCTCCTCCTCCTCCTCCTCCTCCTCCTCCTCCTCCTCTCTCACATGTCTGAACTCTCCTGTCCATATCCGCTTCCCCTGCGCATCAGTCAGCTCCTCTGCGTTATCATCCTCCTCCCTCTCCCTCCTCTCACATAGTGGTCGAAGAGCATCCCTTGCCCGCTCATGGTCCCGTTAGCCCAGGACCCATTGTAGGCAACCAGGCCATTACGCCAGTAGAGAATCCCTGGTCGATCGTCAGGAGCAGCAGGAGCAGCAGGAGCAGCAGCAGGAGCCAGACCTTGACCGTGGAACTTGAGGAGAGAGAAGGAGCCCCAGTAGAGGAGGGAGACCGACTGAGGATATCTGCAGAGTGCAATGAGGAGGAGGAGGACAAGGAGGGGGAGGGGGAGGGGGAGGACGAGGACGAGGACGAGGAGGAGGAGGAGGAAACCTCATGATGTCAACGTAAGAGGAGCAGGGCACTTGAGCTCCTTTGCGCGTACAGGCGACCTGTGACCTTGCATGAGCGGGGGAGGGGGAGGAGGAGGAGGAGGAGGAGGAGAGAGAGAGAGAGAGAGGAGGAGGAGGAGGAGGAGGAGGAGGAGGAGGAGGAGGAGGATCGTACGAATCGGTTCATCTGCGATATGAATCGCTTCCTCTCTGCCTTGTGCTGTGACCCCCAGCCGTCGGGCAGGGAGGCGACGGCAAGAACTCCCGTGCCTTTGACAAGAGGGACCTCCGTGACGAGCCCAGAACGATGCGCAATGCTGGAGCACAAACTCAGTTGGTTGCCTCGTTTTCTCCTCTCCTCTCCTCCTCTCCTCCCTTCTCCTCCCTCTCTCCTCTCCTCCCCATTCTCCTCTCTTGCTCGTCTCCTTACCCTGTGCTGTCTTTTCATTGCTACAACCCTCCTCCTCCCTCTCCTCTCCTCGTTCACCCACCGGAGCAGCCGGAGGACGTCGACGAGGACGCGGCGGACAGCAGGTGATTGGTAGAGGTCGACCGGCAGGGCCTGCCGAAGAGACTTGAGGCGATTGACTCGTTTGTCCTGCCCGGGAGTCTCATCGTCGTTGAAAGACCTGAAAACATCTCAGGTCATGCGATGTGAAAGTCGTCGTCGTCATCATCATCATCATCGTCATCGTCATCGTCATCGTCATCGTCGTCATCGTCATCATCACAATCCCCATCGTCTCCGATCTCAACGAATGATTCAACTCCCTTCACTGCCTCCTCTTGTTCTCATTCACCATACAATCACATTTTGACCTGCTCTCTTGCATTCGTTGAATGTACAAGGTGGTTGCTAGGCTGACAGGCAGGCGAAGTAGACTGCAGAGGAGGAGAAAGTATGTCAGAAACAGCCGGCACGGGATACGGCGAGTGGAGGAAGGGAGAGGAGGAGAGACTATTGCTGGCGGAGTTGTAGGGAGGAGGAAGAGGAGTATGCGGAATAGGGTAGGAGAGAGAGGGAGTGGAGGGAGGGAGGGAGGGAGGAAGGGGAGAGAGAGAGGGAGGATTCACCTTGGTGTGTTGGGGATGGAGGGCAAAGGCATCACAGGTACTTTCTTTCTCCACATGAGTGGATTTCTTGGGTTGTCAGTGACTTTCGTCCGGGAGGCGATGGGGAGGGGATGGCTCATGGTGGGGAAAGAAGAAGTGACCTATTACATATCACTTCATACACAGACACTGAAACTCTCTTTCCCTGTCTTACTCCTTGTTGACATCTCTCCCCCTATCTCTCTCCTCCCCCCATGCGCCCCCGCACTCTTCTGTTCTCCCTGCCCCCCTGCCCCGGCTCTCCCTCGCTCCCTCGCTCGCACCCTCGCACCCTCGCACCCTCGTTACTCTCACCTCTGGAGCCGTCTTCTCCATCTTCAACCATCTCACGGCATCGTTGTGCGAGGTGTCCACGTTGTCGATTTGCACACACGCTGAACAAACGTCAGCATCTCCTCAGCCGACATGCCGGCAGACCTTCTAGCGCGACATGCAGCCTGGCGTTTGAGTGCAGGTAGGCAGTGACAAGGAGGACGAGGAGGATAATTGCAGCCACTATGATCCAGATCGCAGCTCGCTTCATCCAGCTATCCCTTCCCAGCACATTCTTCAATCTCTGCAGAGGAATGGCGTCGTAGTCCTGATCCTCGAGCGTCGTCACGCGGAAGACTCGCTGCCTCGAGAGAGGCGACGAGATGCTCTCCTGCCCGCCTTCCTTCATCGCATGATCCGACAGCTCAGTGCCATAGCTGGGAACACGACCTCCTCCTCCAGCTCCTCCTCCCCCACCTCCTCCAGCTCCTCCTCCCTGTCTCTCGTCGAACGTGGGAAGCAGACCGTTCATTGTCGTCGTCGCCCTGCTGATATAACTCCAGCCCTGAACATCTGCAGTGCTGCCGTCAGAGGTAGACATACAAACAAGTAAAAACACGTTTCTTGACCGCTTCAGTTATATGAAACCTCCACTAACACATCTAATACAATCGTGTGCTTCTGCTTATGCTGCACTGCTCTCTCTCTCTCCACACACATAATCCCATCCTATTCTGTCTGCCATGTCTGCCATGTCTGCCATGTCTGCCATGTCTGCCATGTCAGCTTCCTTGCCCCCTCGCCTCCCGCCATCGTGAGGCCCGGATCGGATCGGATCGGTATGATGACGCAAATGAAAAGCTGAGGCGGGGGGGGGCAAGAGACCCAAAAAAAACGAAAAAAGAAGAAAAAAGAAGAAAAAAACAACGTTGTAACGGTGAATAACTGTAGCCGAAGGGGCACGCCATGCAGGAGAGATGGGCAGGGAAGTGAGCGGAGCGACTTGGCTGCTGGCAGGAGGAGGGAGGGAGGAGAGAAGAGGCATCGCCATGTCCTCTCTAGCGACAGCGGGAAGGGCCTTGACCTCACTCGCATGCCTCTCTCTCGTCCTCCTCCTGGTTCTCCACAAGCCTGGGGACCGGAGTCTGTTGCAGACTGGTTGGAGGACGAGCAGAGGGTGGGAGAGGCAGCAGGGTCTCAGGCAGTTTGTCTCCTCTGCTAGAAGGGCTGGACGTCATGCTGCATCTTTCCGTCAACTTCACGCTCAAACACCAGTGGAATTGTTCTCAGCGTGGGCTGACAAGTGGCGTTCGGAGCATCCGGAAGGCAATCTGGAGGAGGTAAGATTGTACAAGGAGCTGTATGAATGTCGACGATGCATCTTCTTACATGGCATGTAGGAGAAGGCGGCTTGGAGTGAGCACGAGAAGAATGTCGAGGAGATGAGAGCATGGGAAGCACGGCAAGTGAAGGAGCTAGAGGGATCGAATGTAGCCGATGATTGCGTGTATGATACCTTCTGGTTCCAAGGCTCGATCGATCCGAGCCGCAAGCCATGCAGGAAGCTCCCTCCTCCTCAGATGTCTGATGCTCCGAACCCAGCGGTCAATGCTGTAGAGTATGTCGCTCGTGTCCCACAGACCGTCCTCTCCCCGCCAGAAGGACCCCCAGACTTCAACGGACAAGACGCGATGATCGCCTCTCACCCGCCACTTGGATGGGCCCCGACGGATCTGGAGGAGAAGAACGCTGAGTCACGGGGAAGCTTCAGCGTGAGGATGGCTCGAACAGGAGCGGACGACGAGGGCGATATCAATCTTGCCATCTACGGGCCAAACACGCCATACCGCTGCTCCCTCAGGGGTTACCGCATGCTCTCTGCAGACTTCCAGGGGAACTCGGTGTACACAGGATTCAGCCAAGAGTTTGATGCGGGAGGAGGGACGCGAGAGCTGCAGACAGGTTTCATCTCCCCTGGGGCTGCCAACGAGTACGACGTGCTAACTTGCAGAGACGAGGTACCCTTGGCTTCTCATTCTCTCCTCCTGTCCTCCTCCCTTATCCTCCTCCTCTCCTCTCCTCGTCGACTTCTCTTGTCCTCACCACCTTCCAGGCTACCGGAGAGGTTCAGTACTTCCGCATCAACTGGGGTACAAGGGGGTACGCAGACCTTCAGGCTGGAGGAGCCCCGGGGGTCCTGGGGCCTCATTTTGGCCAGAACACCGACTCAGTGACGTTCGACATGGACAGGCCGCGGGAGGAGGACGAGGAGGCGATGGACAAGTACTATGACCTCAATTATGATCCCAGGACGGATGATAAGCCGTTCTACTGATGAGTGAAGGAAACCTTTCTCAGCTTGTGATGGGAGACGTGGTAGTTCACTCCTCCGCCTCCTGCGGTGGGGCAGGTGGAGGATTCAAGTCGAGCTGACACTCGATGTGAACGTTGTGGTGATGCTGCCTGCCTCCCCCATAAGCCTCCTGCGTTCCTGCATTGCCCGTAAGCTCCCCCCCTCCTTCGCTCTTGGGGCCACCTTGACGGCCCGAGGACGCTTTGGGCTCTTCCTTCGCCTTCTCCTTTTTCTTCTCCTTCTCCTTGTTCTCCTTCTTCTTCTCAGCTCTTTTCATGTTGGCAATCGCTCGTTCCGTGTCCCTGCCCGACTCGTCAGAGTCCTCGACCGCTACCATCTCACCCCCACTTGTCATCTATGGGCCTGATGGTGTCAAAGTGTTCGTCCGTCATCGTCATGCTCGCCTTCACCTGCAAGTTTGTTCACTCCTCCTTCCATAACCATCATCTCCCCAGCCATTGATCGCCCGCTCCTCCTGCTTCAATCACCTTGAGCGTTGACGACTTCGTTACTAGATCTTCAGTCGCAATCGTGCTCGTCGCTATCCTCCTAGTGACAAACTGCGGGGGGGGAGGTTCTCTGCCCTCCTCGTCCTCCTTGCCCTCTTGCTCTTGCTCTCCTTCCTCCCCCTCATCCTTTGGAGGTGGCGGGGGCACGTAGACTTGCTTCTTCATGTAGAGGTCCACCACGAGGCCCTCAAAGCTGTAAAGAAAGAAGTTAAGGTGGACGAGAGGCCAAAAACAAGGAAGGGGAGGGAGGGAGGGAGGGAGGGAGGGAGGGAGGGAGGGAGGGAGGAAGGGAGGGAGGGAAGAGGGAGGGAGGGAAGAAGAGAACATGCGAGGATAGCGAATGGGGAAGGAAAGGAGGACTTATTGAGATCGAAGGACACGCGGAGGTAGAGGCTCTTACCGCATCCAATTCAAGACTTGGAAGGAGGAGGATAGCTCGATCCTCTGGCTGAACTCAAAATTCATCGCGGAGTCGCCTTCTCCTTCCTCCCACAAAATCTCGCGGGTGCGAAGGGGCAGGGAGGAGGGGAAGGGAATTTCGACGAAGAAACTAGGAGGGTGCTCCTACATGATCAGAATCCGTCAGGTGAACCTGGTCCGTCGGACTGTCACCTGGTAGAAGACCTGCTCGGGGGAGACCTCTGCCTCCTCCCCTTCCTCTCCTCCTCCTTCAGGCTTGTCAGGAAGGGAAGGTGTTGGATTCTCAAGCCCCTCGATCCTCCCGATGGTCAGAGCCAGACTGAACTGCAGAGATTCAAGGTTCAGAGTCGAAGGAGGAGGGACGAAGGTCACCTTGTCGTCAGTGTCCCCGTCATCTGCATCCTTGTGCTGCTTGCTTGCTGTGTCCTCTTTCCTCTCCAGCGCTTCCTGGGTGGGACTGAACGACTACAACCAGCACGCAAACAGCCTTACCTGTCCCTCCGTTTCCTCCTGCCCCTCCGCTTCCTCCCGCCCCTCCTCGACCAGCGCATTCTTGTTTTCCCTCTCGTTCTCCAGGACGGTGCTATCATCCAGCTCGGAGAGAAGAGGAAGCTTCGCCAGGACCCGCTGCCGGTAGTTGGGGAGGAGGACGATCGGGTTTCCCAGCAGCCGGAGCTTGGACAGTCGGGTGAGCTGCTGCAGCGGCTGGAGCTGGAGGAGAGTGAGGAAGGGACAAGTCGATGGGAATGATGCGAAGTAGAAGCAGGGACGGACCTGACTGATGGTTGCGATACGATTGGAGGAGAGGTCGAGGGATGTGAGAAACTGCATGTTCTGCGCATGCGGGCCCAGCTCCTCCAGATTGTTGATCATGTTTCCTCCAAGTCCTGATATCAGAGGTCAAACTCCAAGAGGGAGGAAGACTTTGATGTCAGGAATGGCGCAAAACAAGAGGGAGCGATCTTGGAATCAATGAAAGTCCAGCCAGCAGGGAGAGCTTGCGGGTCGCGAGGGGGAGGAGGAAGGTGAGAGCTACGACAACATGCTATGAAGGAGGGGCAGGGAGGCAGAGTGATGAAAAGCCTAGAGAACTAGTGGGACCTATGTGCCGGAAGTTGAATGCCTGGAACTTGGGCCAGGAGCTGATGGAGTTGCAGTGAGCGTTGAGAGAGACGAGGGAGGGAGGGAGGTGAGCAATTCTTGTCAGCTTCTGTCCAGTCACTGACAGCTCCTTCAGCTGCTCCATCTCTCGCGCAAACGTCTCGTCCAGCTCCGTCAGGCTGTACGACACCTTCATCTTCTTCATTGTCAGGAGGCTCAGGTCAAGAGTCTCGAACTGCTTGCAGATGAATCCTCTGCCGTAGTTCTTCGCATCCCCGCCCTCCTGCCTGGCCTTCTTCCCTCGCTCGATCTTGTCCTTCAGCCCTTTCGCCTGGGGGCTAAACAGGAAGTCGACGCCAGGGTCATGCAGCACACGATCATGTAGTCGAGGCGAGATCTCTGCCTGACCGATGGTATCGAGGTCGCTCTCTGCAGCCTCTGGAGTCAGCGAGTAGTCGCTTGCTAGCCGTCCTGTCATCCCTGACACCGTCTTGAATCGTTCCCATGCCTCCTCCTTAGCCTTGTAGGACTTGGTGAACGAGGATGGTCCCGTTGCTGCCTGGATGTTGAGCTTCTCTGCCAGCAGACGCCAGAAGAGCTGACTTGCTGTGACTTCCATGGCGATGCAGAGCTCTATGGATTCAAGGGCAGGGACGCTGCAGGCATGCGCTGCAAGCGACTGGGAAAATAACAAGGATGAAGGAGAGGGAGAAGCTGGGTGGGGATTTGGATCAGGAGGACAGAGACTGCAGTGATGCACGGGACAAGGTGGGTGACAGGAGGAGGAGATCGACGAGGGCAGAGACGAGGAGGTCAGGAGGAAGGAGGAGGGGGGCGACTCTGTTCAAGATGTTGGGAGCATGGGAGGAGGAGCAGTAATGTATCGCACCAACGCTTTTCAAAACTTTGAGCGTCCAAACTTTATCCATTGAAACTTTGTAAAGTTGAGTTCCTAACGTTAAAAGAGTTTACTTATCTGATTTTTAACTTAACTTAGAGTAAACAATCACGGTAGCGCGGCGTACGGCCCGAGTGAGTGCCGGATCGGCGCCAGGCCCCGGCTCGGTCAGTCACCGGGGGGTCACGTGCCTGACTTTTAACTTAACTTTGAGTAAAGTTTAGACGACTGGCAGTTTTTTTTTCCCGGAGTCCTCCGGGGTGACCGTAGGTGACTGGCCGGAGCTACGGAACGGATCAGCTTTTAAAAACATATATGTAATCCGGTATCGTTTGTTCCAGCTTGAGTATTAGAAATGAGGTAGGAAATTATATGTTTGGTAGTAGACAAGTTGTAAGTGATTGGTAGTAAATTCACAGTGTTTGTTCATAAATGGTACAATTATAAACCCTCTTGAATGTTGGTACTGAAAGTCCCGTCGACCAAGAATAGTCGGGGTTTCTTTACTACAGCGAGTCATGTGGTGTCATGGGGTCCGTGAATCCCTGGTCAGCGCTCATGATACCTGGGGAGACCTTGTTAAGACACCCCTGTATCCACCCCCCATGAGACCCCAAGTTTCGGGGTAGGAAGGAGGCTGTAGGATTTAGAGCCAGAAGGACGGGTAGTACGCCAAATTTTTTTCTGTCCACGGAAAGTGAGGGGTATATTGTAGGAAAATGTAGGGGTATATTTCATGACTGCATCATTGTCGGGGGTTGTCAGACAGGTACAGTCACCGTGACCTAAACCTGGAGGAGCAATCCCACGTTACCATGTTTGGAATCCTCTCCAAACTGAAACTCTTCGAGTAAACGTTTGTCAGCAGTCATGTTATAAGGCAGCATATTTGCTCTCGTCACGTTGTAACACCAACCGACCTGTTACCTAATCACGTTACCTTTCCGCACCTCTCTATTTCAAAGGATTTGCCTCGGCACGAGGAACATCAAACACTCTCATCCTCTATCATCCCACTTCCCCGTCTCAGTCGAAGCTCTCCCCTTCCTCCTCGCCAACTTCCTTCTCCTCCTAATCTCTGATCTTTCTCCTCCCTCCACACTATGGCCATTTCTGGTACTCCCTCGAGAATTCTTTTTGGTTTCTGCCCGCCTGTCTCGCAAACCCCCAGTGCATCCGCGGCACCTTGCACTTCAATTTTCGCTGGAGAAAGGACTTCACATTGCCACGAGGGACACAAGCTTTCTTCCCTCATTGGAAACGCTGCTGTCAGGCCAGGAACTGCTTGCCCGCTCGATGCTGCGATTCGTGTGCTACAGCTCAAGTCTGACCATGAGGAGCTCTGTCTGGCAGCCAACTCGATCGCAAACTTTGCGCTCAGGCCCGAGTTTCAGAGGAAGCTCGCTACCTATCCCGCACTGAAGACTCTCGTTGACTGCCTCCTGAGCACAGAAGACGAGTCTGTGAAACGGTTCCTCAGCATGGCGATTGGCAGACTTGCTGCAAACCGAGCGCTTGTCTCCAACCTCATCCAAGATCCTGAACTCGTGGACGCGCTTCTTAAGATCGCAGCAGACCATTCCTCAGGCAACTGGAGACAGCCAGCCCGCACCCTTGCGATCATGGCGGCGAAGGCCCCGGAGGAATTGCAAGGAAAGTTCTGTACCTCGTCGATGCTCGCAATCATCAAGAACCTCCTTGATGTCGAGCAGACGGAGATTCAAACGGACGCCATCCTTGCTCTTGTTCCCTTCACCAAGACCGCGCAACGTGTCCGTGCTCTCAGTGACGAGGACGTCTGGACTAAGTTGTTGCCTTGCGCGTCAAACTCGGGAGTCTCCATCCTTGGTCAGCTGGCTGCAAACGTGGTGCAGGCTGCCCTGGACCGCAGTGCTGAAGACGTGGTTCTGTCTAAGGAAGCGTTCTGCGCTCTCTGCAGCCTCTCACAGAAATGCCGCGAACATTCCTCCTCCCTCAATAGCACAAAGGCAAACATCTACACCACGGTGATCTGCCGCATCTTTCTCGCCGCAAGGGAGAATGCTGACGTGCAGACTGAGTACGCGTCGGAAGGAGCTGCACGAGAGATTTCACTCTCTGCTAAGCTCGTTCTCCACGTCGATGTTGAGTGCGAGGAACTCTCTGACGACATATGTGGCAAGACCTTAAGCGCTCGTTGCCTCTCCTCTTTAACAGCCATAGCTGAGCATTGGCTTCATTAGCTTTGTACATTTGTTTTTGTAAATACGATGAATGAAACAGATTCGATCTCAAGAATTTCTCATGATTGATCCTCACTGCTTCCAATGACTCCCATCGATAATCGATCATATTCACTTCAACTCTCAAGTTTCAAAACTCCTGCACCTTCACCTCTTTCACACCTGCTCTTGTTTCTTGTTGCGTCAAGTGACAAACTTCAACGCACCGTGTCTCACTCAGCCCGCCTCGCTCACTTATTCAAGTCACTACCCCCATACCCTACCCGAGACTACCCCACCTACCAATTTCCTCCACTCGTACCCACCAGTTCATCATCAAGTTCGACATCATACCCTACCACCCTACCTCCTCTGGGTCCTCCTCCTTGTAGCAAGGTATGCTGATTACTAGGACTTGGGATACTTCCTATGACCCAGAAGTTGCCCTTCGGGTGATCGTGAAGAGTCAAGTGAGGTAGGTAGGGTAGGGTCATTTCAGACGGGATTATTGAGGGTAGGGGTACTCTGATATCACAAATTGACTAGGTAGGGGTACAATCGTGAATTTTTGACATGGGGTGGGTGTCAAAGTGAAGGGTACCCAGTTTATCTTGTCGGGTAAAGGGAGGAAAAAATGATAGCAATGAAGGGGTACACAGATTTTATTTCATAGTTCATATGGTGGGTACACAAAATCTGAGTTCAAGAAGTATGGGTGGGTAATGGGGACATTGAGGATTAAGGGGTGGGGGTGCACATGGAACAATTAGAAGTTCGCATCTGGCAGATGAGAGGCTCTGAAAGCAAAGGGGCGGAGGAGAGCGAAGAGAAGGAGCGGGAGCAAGGATTGGAAAGGAAGGAAGAGGAGGAAGAGGAGGAAGAGGATGAAGGGATTTAGTTCAGTGAATGGTGAAGAAGCAGAAGGAAGGGGAGAAGGAGAGCAGGGAGGGTGAGCCATCATGACTTGATGGAGCTACAACGAAGGGTTGGTACAGCGAAGAGTATGTGAATGGTTGAAGATGTGCTATATGACACTTTTCGAGATATGACCGAACTCCTGGTGATCAAGCAAAGTTAAGGATTGATGAACGGAGGGGAAGATGAGAAGGGGCTGAAGTTCATCCAAGGACACCTTACCAAAGTAGCTTTCACAGTTGAAGCTGAGCCCAAAGTTCAGAGGAGGGAAACGGAAATGGTAGTTGAGACTGCAGAGCACAGGAAGGACAAGCTTCAGTCAGCCTATCACCAATGTTGTGGCAATGCTGACCCGATGCCTGCAGTATGTACTCTGATCTCAAGTGGAAGCAATTGAAGGACCCGGTGATATTATCCTGTTGATGTTGTGGTGGTTGTCTGACTGGTTTTTTTGTGATCATTCAGAAGGGCCAGCTCTACTACTGGAACACCAAGAGCAACAAGACCCAGTGGGAGAAGCCCAAGTGTGTCAAGTCTCACTGCGTAAGTCGAGCATGAGGTGGTGTCCGAGGGCTAATCACAAGGCGCAGGACTTCCACTAAATCTAGCGGCTCTCTTGACATGCTTGTAGTACCAAGCACTTATGGAAAGAGGAGTTAGCTTGGATTGTAAATGAAATCTTTCAATCGATCCATTCCATGTTGTCGATTCAATGATCGCTCCCCAGATGTTGATATGCTCCAGAACTCTATAGTTCCCTTGGAATAATTGATTGGCATGATCTCCAGCTCAACATTATGCCAACAGCCTCCGTCTAATATTGAATTACGCTAATCAATCTTCATTCACAATCTACACTCATATTTCACACTAATCTGTTAATGGGACACTGCGGATTCCTCCTTGTTCAATCTTTGGGCAGGTCAGCATCGTCGATCTCCTGACCTGCCAACAGAGCTGCTCGCTGAGCCTCAAGCGCTTCGAGCTCCATGGCAACTTCAGGAAGCATCGAAGGCTGCGACCTCAACTTTGCCAAACGACGCTGCGAGATCAGAATCAGCACACGACAAGCATTTCAAAGTGTAAGCACCTGAATAGGCTTCAGGCGCTGGAAAGGCCACTGACGAATGCCCATTTTGCGGCAAACCTGCACACCAGTGAGGCTCGGTTACCATTACAAGTACATGCGCTCGTTCACCTTCTTGATCGCAGTGGCACAGATCCCGAGTTTGCGAGCAGCATCGTTGAGAGGCATATCAAAGTGCTGCCTCAGCAGCTCTGTGCTCAACTTGACTGGGACGATGGTTGTGTCCATGTCGTGCAGGGGGCGCCCTCCGAGGGCTTGCTTCCCTCCTTGACCCCAACTTCTCCTCCTCAATCTCGGCTTCACCTCCAAGATTTCTACCTTAGAGTTCTTCTTGAGGAGTGAATCCGCAAACGTGGAATCCTCGCCGTCGCCACCGAACACCTTAGATGAAGATGCCATGACGATGTCTGCTGCTGTCTGGTTTCCAACGAGGGACGAGAAATTCAACGAGGGCAGGGACGAGTTCCTGTCAGGGGACGACCGAGAGGCATCAGCGTTTCTGTTTGCAGTCAGCTGGAAAGAAACATGGTTGGTTGACGCGCTGTGAGCCTTGCCGCCCATGAAAGCAGAATCCTTGAAGGACGGCAACATCTGTGACTCAGCAGAACGTCTGAGCGCTGGATCACTGAGCGGCTGGAAGTGAAGCTTGCTGCTGATCAGATTGTCTGCCTCCTGCATGCCCCGATTCCACAGGCTGAGAGATGTTCCATCGTTAAGTTCAGGTTGCCCGGGACCAAGCGGAGTCATAACTTGTGGGGAAGACAGGTCGTCGGAGGAGACTGAACCAGCAGGGGACGCAGTCCTCCAGCTCTTCGAGTACTGAGTCAGACTGAGAGGTTTCGGTCGGTTTGTGAATCGTTCCAGCAGAGACTCTGTCGAGTTGAGAAGATTTGGAAAGCGAGACGATGAGAAAAAGGCAAAATCCTCCATAGCCTTGATCACTTTAGGCTGCACACAGAAACAAAGTGAGACCGGGCGGAATCAAGTACCATCAGGACACCTGAAGCGGATCCATGGAGTGCTTGTCATGCTTCTTGGTTATCTTCACAACAGCCAACGCATTCACAATCGCATATCTCCTAAGATTCTGGACTTTAACAGCAAAGGCAGCAATGTCGTTGAGTAACGTCCTCAGGCACTCTGGATCAGCTCTGAAGCTTTCTTCTCCGAAATTCTTGTGCTGAACACTCTCTCAGACCCATTCTTGGAAATGTCATCACGTGCTCACCTCAAGGATCCTCACTCGCTCCCCGAGCTTGTTAGTCATGTAGTCACAATATTCGCTCTCCTTGTTCACAAAGAAATCGTTGACCTGCAATGTAGCGATCAGAATAGCATCCCCGGGTAAGGATGAGCATACCTGGTTGATTTCATGGAGAAGAGCTCGAACGAAAGTTTGCTCATGCGCTTCTTGGGAAGCAGAGTCGGTTTGTGCCGTCAGCGGCTTGATGAGCTTCTTGAGGCACTTGTAATTCACAAATCTATCCGCCAGTTCCAGCCGATTGCCGAGCAAGCAGGCCGCTTCCTCGGCCCTCATTCGCTGTCCAAACTTCATGGCACTTTCCTCTATTTTTTCTTCTCAATCCCTCAAACAGTCCTGCCTTACTACTTGTGTCCCCCTCACGTCAAAGGTCTTTAGCGTTCTTGGCCTTCTAGTCCGTCTTTCTACCTGCCTGTCCTTTCGTCTCTTAGTCCTTCTGGATGCCTTAAGGGGCCCTGGCTTGCTGCTGCTCCCTCCCCTCGTCCTCTCCCTCGCTACACTCGTGTCGCATAGCTCCTGCCACTTGCATGTTGGACCACCAAATCCTTCGGGGCCGGTAGGGTGGTGTAGAAGCGATCGTCCAGCCCTGGGGTGGGTGTAGAAGGCAGGGGGTGTAGGGGAGGTGGGGTGGGCTTCTAGTTTGTTTTTGTATCCAGAAGGGGGTGGGGGTTAAGGGCACGTGTGAGTGAAGATGGATCGGGGGGGGGGAGGGGGGGTGGGTACAAGTGATGGGAAGGGGGCCTAGAGGTTTCTGAGCATGAGGAGGGTTCAGGTGAGGGTAGGGGTAGTTGCAATTTGAATGGAGAACAGGGTGGGTCGATTGAAGGGGGGTACCTGATAGAACCGTCTGTTGCATCTAGTCTTTATTGAAAAGGAGGGGTGGGGTAAACTCAGACCGGTGTTGTCTCTGGTCCTGATTGAGTCGCAATTGGGGGTGGTGTACATTCATTGTAAACGAGTCACTAGGGAAAGGGGTGGTGAGATATCTTGGGTAGGGTACAAAACTGTAGGATTGCCGGGGTAGGTACTTTCTGGTTCGCTCAGTTGGAGCAAATGGGGGTGCATTCCGTCTATTATGGTGGGGTGGTGATGGGGTACCGAAACCATGTGGGGGTCCTTGGAAAAGGATTGGGGTCCATTTCTGCTTCTTTGATTTTTAAATGTTTTTAGAGGAGGAGGCCATTTTAACCCCACCTGGTAATCAGTTACGGTTTTGTATCAAAGGATGGGGTAGTGGGGTAGTGGGTTGTACACCTCCTCTCTTCCCTCACGAGCCTCAATCAGACTTGATATGTCGCGATTTGATGACCTTGCGTCCCATGCTTACGGTCAGAAGTAAAAGAAAGTGCTATTTTCAACATGTTTTTCCCATGGGGTGGCACCACCCTTCCCCTTGATATGTTTGGGGGGGTTAGAAAAGCACAAATACGAAAATAGGGGGTCCTTTAGACCTGGGGAGGGGGTGTAAACAATCTATTATATTATAGTTTAAATGAAAGTACTCATTTTCGAGAGCCCCTGAACTTTTGGTTTGGCTTTTGGTACGAGGCCCCCGTCTCTTCGGACAACCCCTTGGCTCTCTTCCCAACGACGCCTCCGATCCTCAAATTAGCCTAAAACTTCGCCGGGGCGGGCCCGGCTATGGGATCCCTCGGACTCTGCCAGCCGCGCGGCCGGCTGGGCGCGGCCCGGGCCTGACTCTGTGAGGCCGCGACTTTCTGAGTCTCACTGCCAAGATCGGACGGACGGCGCCGCCGCGTCACCGTGGCACAGTCGGCCCAGTCCGATCGGAGTGGCACTGGGGCCCCGGCGGCGGGCGGCCCGGCGGCTGCCCCGGCGCCGGGGCCGGCAGTTGGCGCCGTCCGAGTCCGGGTCGCCGCCCGGCCAGCTGACGGCCTCCGAGTGCCAGAGCGTCGGACGGGGGCCGGGGGCCCGGGGCCCGGGGCCCGGGCGGCCGGGCGGGGCCCGGGCCGTCGAGCCGCGAGTCGTTGATCCGACACTGATCGGAAGTAGTATTACGGTAGTAATGTGGTGACGCCGGCCCCGCTGGCCCCGCTCCGGGACCGTCCGACCGTACCGAGGCGGGCCGGCCGCTCGCCGTGCCGGCCCGGGGGCTACCGTAGTACACTGTGACGGCCCGGGCGCCGGTGGTCCGTCACCAAGCTGTGGAACTGTGATGCGAGTACTACTTTAGCTTAACTTTGAGTAAAGGTCTCAGTCGGGACTCCGGGAAAGCAACTGCCGGGAATGCGATGAGGCAGCCAGGCTCTCCCCATGCCGCTACCGGCGGGGAAGGTTCAAAGGACGGACATGTGGGCTGAAGGTCAAGCGCCGCCCGTCATGGCGCCTGTCCGAGCCTCCGAGTGTGTTTGAGCAGCAGTACTGAAGGATGCTTGTACTGATAGCAGAGGCTGAGACCCTACGGTAGTACAGGCATGGAGACCGTGACATGCTCTTATGGGAGCAGACTGACAGGATCCGCAGGAATCCGGATGACAAGCGGATGAGCTGTGCCCCGGCGCTCGGAGACTTTGAGATGGAGGCCCACAACTTGGAGGCTCCTCATCACACTCAGGGCTCGGTGAGCAAGGAGAGCACGAGGGCAAGCATCGGGTTGATTTGACTCGGCAGGAGTCGGCTGCTCGTTCAAGCCATGCGCACATGCAGTTTCTAGCAGGGTTCACAGGAACGCGCCTGACATGCGTGCAGTGCCATCGTAGACTCACAACATGCTGCTCCAGGGTTCCGAGAGGTAGACTGGGGGAAAGGACACAAGTACAACGGGTACTGGAAAGATGGTAAGATGCACGGGTACGGAACGCTCGACTCTCCCGAAGGACAGTATGTTGGCGAGTTCGCCGAGCATCAGAAATGCGGTGGGAGAAGTTTGAAGAAGCAGCGGATCACGTGACACGTCACTTGACAGGAAGTGGACGGTTGATGCTGAAGAATGGTATGATGTACATAGGCACGTTCGATCAAGACTTGTTCCACGGCAAAGGAGCACTGAAGTTAGTGCAAGCTTGACATGGCGGAGATGCTTTTGATGCATGTCAAAGACTGAGCTGTGCTTGCAGCTACAGTGACAACTCGGCCTACTCGGGAGAATTTCTGCATGGAAGACGGCATGGGCAGGTTGACAAGGGGCAGAGTTGGGTCAGTCAGGTCGTGATGCCTCTGAGAGAACCGCAGGGAACGATTGTGTTTGAGAACGGAGATGTGTACGAGGGCGAATGGGTGGAAGGACGTCGAGAAGGGCTCGGCCTGTATGTCCGAGCTGAGCAGGAAGAAGTTTACGAGTGAGAGCGGAGACGAGAAGAGTGAGACTCGGCATTTGACCACGTCATGATAGAGGAGCCTTCATGGCTGATCGGAGGCACGGAAAGGGCGAGCTTTGGATCAAGCGTGAGAACTCTAGTGTGTACAGGAAGAGTGTTGTAGAGTATGAGGAAGGGAAGATGGTGCGACAGAGGTCAGTAGGGGAGGGTATCCTCCAACAGAAGCCAGTGACCCTGCCCTAGGATGCGACCGAACTCAAAGCCGAAGTTCCCATCGCAAAAACCGCTTGAGAGGTTTCGATCTTCTGTCGACAAACCAGAGATTCCTCGTGTAGAGGAAGATCTAGATGACGTTGACATCTACGATGAGATCCCTGCGATAGCGGATGTACAGCAGGACAACCAACAAGCCCAGGCCTCGGAAGGTGTTGAGGAAGAGCAAGGCGACGCTGAGGCGAGCGTGCGGCCAGAGCTTTCATTCGTCAGCAACGTACAAGACCAGAAGACAGACTCCAGCCGCTCATGGTCGAGGATGATCAGAAATGCTTTCAATCGCTGCTTGCTCTGCCTTCCTTCCGGTGCTGAGTTCATGGACCTCGACCCTTCCGCTCTCAACGACGAAGACAAGGTCCTCTCTGCCTCTCGTAGCGACGCAGCGTCATGGTGAACCTCCTTTGCAGCAAGACAGCATGTTGAATGTTGTGATCTTCAAACTGAAGAACATGCCCGAGTTCGACGATCGAGATGTGGATGCCATGTGAACTCCGCGCCTCTTGCCTTGAGCTGTGACTGATGTAACATGTAGATACGTCACAAGTCAAGCAGGAAAGACCGTGCGGATATCCAAGAGCCTTCACTCTCTCACAGACCCGTGACGGCTGGTCTGCAGCCCTGCAGCTCACTGACGGTGACCCAGGGAATGGAACGAGGAGCTGAGCATGCCCTACAGCACTGCCGACAAGCAGAACCTCCTTGTGTCCGTTTACCTGGTCATGCACAACAAGAAGCAGCTCCTGCTCGGCTCTTGCGAGGTCAACCTCTCCGCTGCTCACGTCGGGTTGTCGATGCCCATGAAGCACTTCTCCCTGGTACTCTCTTCCTGCCGCCGGTCGGCATCGCGCTCAGGTCAGATGTCGCAGGTAGACAGCGCGGGGAGGAAGGTCGAAGGAGTTTCAGCCAAGGATGGAAGAATGGCATCTACCAAGATCATGATGTGAGCAGTCTTGCAAGACATAACGCTGGACGTGTCTTGCCCTGATGATGATGTTAGGTCTTGCTCGATACTGTCTGAACCAGATGCTCTGATCTCAGTCAGAATGGAAGCAGCTCGACATCTGACGCCCACAGACACGCAGATTGCTGGAGTTCCCTTTGCGGTGGTGAAGTACAACTACAAGGAGTTGAGAACAACGACAGGCAACTGAACTCCCTTTCATCTCCCTCGACCTGATCACGACGACTCCAGGGCTGGAGTATGACAAAGTGAGATGGGACCAATTCCTCTCGTTCCCTTCACTGTCGCAGTTACAACTCAACAAGATCAAAGGGAAGTTCAACTTCATCAAGTGGATGACTGTAAGTTGCCAGCTCCTCTTCCGTGAGACCTTACTTGGTGCTACAGGTTGAAGTCTGGGAAGAAGAGCACCTGGGGTCGAAGAGATTCATCGGGATGTGTAAAGTAGACTTTCAAGACTTGCAGTTCGGGGAGAAGGGCGAAGGCAGGTGGTACAACCTCACTGACCCTGACAGGCAAGATCTCCCTACAGTGAGCACCTCCTCTCGCTGGTGCCCTGCTCTTCTCACCGTGTGAGCGTCAGGTGGGACGAGTGAGATGTTGGGTGGCGTGGGGATACAAGGAGACTTCGAAGCTGCGCGTGTTCGTGGAAGAAGGACTGAACCTCTCGCCCATCTTCTCCAAGAGTGAGGAAAAGGAGAAGGGAGCAGAGAAGTCCCGAGGACCGCCGATGCTGTCGGCAGCCGGCAGCCTGACGCAGCTGCAACCCAACGCGTATGCGATGAGTGTGCTGGTCCCGGAGGGTCACTCAGGTGTTGCAGGATGTTGAAGGTGTCGCTGGGGGAGGGTCAAACCTTCAAGACGAAGGTGATGGAGTCTGCTGGGGTAGCTCCCACTCGCTCAAGGATCGCCGTGTTCTCAGGTCATCGAGCAGAATTACTGCCCCATGTGGAGTGAAAACTTCACCTTCAAGTGCCGACAGAGTGAGCTCCCCGAACGACTGAATGTGAGTCTCCACCACCATCCCAGCAGCTGACAGCCTTCAAGGTGCAATGCTTCCACCGCCGAGGCCGCACAGATGAGTTCATCGGCCTCTCTCTCGTGAACCTGCGAACTCTAGAGCTCGATGGCTACTACTTGTCCAGGTGCAAGGGACGGAGTTGACAAGGTTGTGAGCGACATGCTCCAGGTGGTACGACCTTGCAGACCCCGAGCTGGCGTCGTACATGAAAAAGTATCGGAAAGAGATCGACGAGATCGAAAGAGGTGCGGAGAGACAGCTACGCCTGCTGATGCTTGTTGAGTCTTGATCAGGACACCTGAAAGGAGATGACGATGAAGAACAAGACAATGAAGAGAGCAACAGCGATGACGATGACGACTTCTCTGCGCACATCATCAACAAGAAGGGGTGAGCTACAGCTTGCTGGCTTCATGATGCATCTGACCTCTCCCCAGCATGTTTGGCCGCCTGACCGGAATGAACTCATCGCAGAAGCGAGCCAACTCTGTGGCATTCTCCTACTCAGCTGGCTGCGACCCGAAGCGAGTGGGGAGGTGGCGGGTTGAGCTGTCCTCACTACGAGCCTCACCCGCTCCTCAGGATCAGAATCTCTTTGCAGTGGACCAGCCAGTCGTTCGAGGAGGAGGAGCGCTACAGCATCGCCCTCCTGCGAGCCAAGATGAAGGCACCTGCCCGCTCTCATTGGTTAGGCATGACGTGTTTGCTGCAGGACCCGCAGCAGCGGAAAGTCTTACAGAAGTTGCGGGCAAAATGGAAGTTTGACTTCATGGTAAGCCGTCATGTTGTCAACCTTGCTGCGTTGACAACCGATGCAGAGGAAAGCTCTGGAAGCCTTTCAAAGGTAGAGCTGCTGATGTGCCATGGGGAAATGACAAGCAAGTCTTGCTCCACAGGATAAAGGAGGTGATGAAGAGTCAGACGAAGGAGGCGGAAGTGAGATATGACTATCACGTCGTAAGAACTGAAGCCCGGCTGCTGTTTCCTCCTCTTACAAGCGCCTCAGGTCCGCAAGACTCTCCGATCGCTCATCAACTATTTCCAGCTCAAGAGGCTCAGCTACAGCATGGCATACCATCACGGCATGCGGACTATCGTCAGGTACGCCGCTCCTCTCTCTCACAATTTGCTGACGCGGTAGCAGAGCATGCTTCAAGGACTGGACCAAGTTTCGCATCATCGCGTTGAAGCAGAGGAAGCTGGCGGCAGGGCTCTACGCCGGCGACGACGACGATCTCATCATCGCTCCTCTCGAGATGTTGAAGGCGTGGTGGAGGAGCTTGCATCCCTGATGACGTGGCAGGTTCAACTCCATCGGAGCCCTCAAGGCGAGCGAGGAGGGGAGCAAGGCCCCGCATGAGGCGGCGAAGCGCAGCAAGACTCTGAGCTCCCTCCCCTCGTCCCAGGTCGACCCAGCGCACACGTCAAAGAGGAAGGGAACGACGTGACTCATAAACGGGTCAAGGTTGTGCCATCATCTATTCGCTCCCCTCCTGCTGCGGCAGCCCGTCAGAGGTTAATGGTGGCCCTTGTCCGGAGCCACTAGAGGAGCGACGAAGGGGCTGTGGAAGAAAGTCTCGTAGCTGCCGTGCACGATACGCACAAATCGCCAGAGCTCAGCCACGATCCTCTCGAAGCCAGTGAGCTGCAGCAGCGGGAGCACGTCAAGGGGTTGGGGGGGAGGACGGAAGGGGAACATGCACCTTGTCGAAAACGAGCTCGAGGACGAGGGACGTGGCAACCACCACGAAGTCAGTGACCTGGTTGAGAATGACAAGCTGTTGGGCACGCGGGAGGGGAAGAGGTCACCTGAGTAGTCTTTTTGATGAACTTCTTCCACCCCGTCGCCCACAGGACCGCGAGGTTCTCAATCAGCAGGATGGACAGGATGGCGATCTGAGGGAGGGAGGATGAGACAGAAACATGCTCTCATCTCCCGTCTCTGTCTTACGCTTCCTTGCGCACATGCATGCTCTCGGTAATGGTGGACGTGCGCGAGGTGCTCGTGGTGACCTGCCGAAGGGTTCCCCTGAAGAGGGTCAGGCGAGCAGCAGGCAGCAAGGCAGGAGGTCACCAGCAACTGAGCAGCTTGCATCTTCTCGTAGAAGATGGACAGCTGAAGCTGAATGCCTGCTCGAGTTCAATGCCGCAGTCGCCATCAAGAAGGCAGGAAGGGACCTGTGACTACCAGCGCGACGTCTCCCATCACAAGTGCAGACTTAACGGCATGCACCTCGAGGAGTTCTCAGATATCGCGCGCACTGAAGTCGACGGGCTACCTCGTCCTTGTGGAGGAAGTTGAGGGTGTTCTTCTTCCACTTCTTGACCTCGTGCAGTGAGAACGGATTGAAACTCTTGAGAGTAGGAAGCGAAGCCTTCGACTCTGCACGCCCTTCAGACGAGGCCGATACAAACTCTCGCTCATCACCAGAAGAAGTATTCTTCTTCTCCTCTACTCGCTGTTTCGCTTGCTGCGGGGGCGGACGGGCTGGCTCCTTGGCTTCGGCCACTGGAGGAGAGGGAGGAGGGGGGGGAGGGGGTTGCTGCTGTACTCTCTCCTCCTCGTGCCTCACCACATTCTCATGGACAGGATCGGCGACTTTCTCTGTTTGCTCACTCGCATGATTCACCTCTTCCTGTGACCCGCACGTGAGCATTGCGCAACTAGGAGCACGAAAGACGTACCGCTGTGCTGCAGCTGATCAGGATCAGCGACAAGAGGCAGAGTGAAAGGACTCTTGCAGTTCCTCTCATGGTTTCGTCAGCCTGCGCAGACTCAGACAGGAAGACGAAACAAAAATGGTCCCAGACGTGAAGACAGCACGCAGATTCTTGCTCACTGGGGTGAATCAATCTATGATCCTCTCTATGTTCTATTGACGTGAGCATTCAGCCTAGCTCAACCTGAGGGAAGTATTTGGACCTCCACGTTCTATCACGTTCCCCTTGCATCATAATTGCAGATGAGAAGACGAGGGAGGAGCAGGATCAGGGTCAGGGTCAGGAGCAGGAGCAGGAGCAGGAGCAGGAGCAGGAGCAGGAGCAGGAGCAGGAGCAGGAGCAGGAGCAGGAGCAGGAGCAGGAGCAGGAGCAGGAGCAGGAGCAGGAGCAGGAGCAGGAGCAGGAGCAGGAGCAGGAGCAGGAGCAGGAGCAGGAGCAGGAGCAGCAGGAGCAGGAGCAGGAGCAGGAGCAGGAGCAGGAGCAGGAGCAGGAGCAGGAGCAGGATCAGGAGCAGGAGCAGGAGCAGGAGCAGGAGCAGGAGCAGGAGCAGGAGCAGGAGCAGGAGCAGGAGCAGGAGCAGGAGCAGGAGCAGGAGCAGGAGCAGGAGCAGGAGCAGGAGCAGGAGCCATGGCAAGGATTCATGGGGCGCAATCTTTCACATAGGGGGTCCATTCTTCATCCAAGCTTCGACACCCCACCCCCGGTCATGGTCCCCCTGGTCAGCCAAGGGGTTAGGGGTCATGATATTGTACCGGGTGCAACACCCGCATTCAAGGGGTGGTCTAAGAACATGGTATTGGTGGGTGGGTGGGGGTGGAGTGTAATAAAACCCTTGTAGCTCTGGGAAAGAGGGGTGGTCTCAAAGGAAAGGGTGGGGTGGTAGAATTGGTAAAGGAGGGGTACAATGAGGACGGGTAGTTTAAAATTTAGAGGTGGGGTGGTTTACAATCTCAATTAGCTCACTGTAATTAGCTGAAAAACTGCCCGGATCACCCCTGACCCCCAAATATTGCATACCACCCCTTATATAACCCCTGTTTGATATTAAGAGTACCCGGTACTTGTGGGTAGCAACTATCTTGGTACCTACCTTACTGACTTCCTATCCCCTTGGACCTAGTGGGGTCCTAGATGATTTCTTTAAGACTACTAAACCCCATAAACTTTGAAGAAAACGGGTCTAAGTACCCCAACATTTCTATTCTATAGTACCCGTGCAGTCTCCGCTGACATCATTCTTTATTGTAATTTTATAGTTTAATTTCACATCAGTACTGAAAATTGACTAAATAGTTTTTATTTTCAATATTTCTATTGAAGATCCTGCTAGCGCCCCCTTTTCGTCCCCCTTTGCCCCCCTCCCTCTAAATCCTTCCCTTCCCTTCCCTTCCCTCCCTTCAGCCTTGACTTGAATCGGATCCGAGAGGTGTCGATACGAAGGACTCTCTCCCGTTCCTCCTACTTGTTCTTGAAAGAAAGGAGGCTTTTCCTATCCCATGATGGGGTTAAACTTATTTTTCGTGCGTCTGCTCGTTCTTTCCCTGCTGTCCACTCTCACAGCAGGCTTCATCTCTACCTTACCCAGAGGGATTGTTCCTGCCAGTCAGGCAACGACGGGTCGGTCACTGCTCAAGTTTGGAAGCAGCGGATCATGGCGGCATGCGGCGTCGATGAGCAGGAGGGGTGGAGTACGCACTGCCAGGATGCTGAGGGAGGAGTACGACCTGGTTGTAATCGGGGGAGGACCGACCGGGCTGACCGCTGCCCTGGCCGCGGCTTCAGCGGGTAGGACCTGCGTGATTGTGGATGCGACGAAGAAGAACCAGGTTCTGAAGCTGATGCATGCTCGTATCTCCCTCCTCTGACTGTCGTTGCAGGTTCAGTTCTCGGGGCCTACGGGCCTGTTCTCCAAGGCCCTGAGGGATGCCTCCAAGAAGATCGACGTGGGGACGTTGCGCAAGATGGGGCTCAAGGACGTGACGGTGTGGAAGCAAGTACAGGAGCTGACGTCCGACATCGTCAAGGCCTCTGGTCAGAGCAACCTCGCCGCAGTGCAGGCGTGCAGGATCCCCCACCTCCGAGGGTCTGCGAGACTGATGAGCAGCTCAGAGGTGGAGGTGACGTTCACGGAATCGAACAGGAGCATCCCCGTGAGGGGCAAGAGAATTCTTGTTGCCACTGGCTCGACCCCCTACCGCATGCCCGGCATCCCCTACGACCAGATGCGCATCTTCGACTCGGACACCATCCGCATGCTCACGTTCCTCCCCAAGACCGTCACCATTGTGGGAGCAGGGATCATCGCGATTGAGTTCGCCAAGATCTTCTCGCGGCTCGACTGCAAGGTCACCATGCTCGTGCGCGCCAAGAGCCTTGATGTCGCGCTGCTGAGGATCGGGGTCGATCGGGACGCAGCGCTGCAGCTGCAGAAAGATTTGTGCATGAACAAGGTCAGGATCATATTCGACACGGAGGTGGAGGAGGTGATCAAGGAGGAGAGTCCTCGCAATGCCAACACCGTCAGGCCCATGCGGATCAAGCTGAGGAAGGCGTCGACCAAGGAGAGTCAGCCGCATGCTGAGATCCGCACGGAGGTTCTGATGACGGCGACGGGAAGAAGCGCCAACACCCGGGGGATGGGCCTGGAGGGCCTCGGGGTCAACATGGACAAGGACGGGGCGATCCTAGTGAATGGCAACATGGAGACCTCGGTGAAGGGGGTCTACGCAGCTGGAGACGTGCTGGGCGCTCCCTCGTTGGCGAGCACTGGGATCGAGCAGGGGAACGCGGCGGTGACTCACATGTTCGGGTTCGACTCTTCCTCCAAGTCGGCATGGATGCTGAGGACGGGAGGGCGAGACCCAAAGAGCCTGACGGCAAACCCTCTGCTCTACCCTGTCGGCATCTGGACCATCCCCGAGATGGCCTTCATAGGACGCACCAAGGAGAAGGCGATCGATGACGGATGGGAGCCCGAGGAGCTGGGAGAGGGGCTTGCCCAGTACTCGCAGACTATCAGAGGACGAGTGCAAGGGATCAACTTGGGCTTCCTCAAGCTTCTCTTCTCCAAGCCCGACGGCGTCATCCTGGGGGTCCACATCCTGGGGGAGGACGCATGCGAGCTGATCCACTACGGGACGGCGCTGGCTCAGTCGGGCAAGACGGTGTACGAGGCGCTGGGAACGGTTTACACGGCCGTGACCTTCCACGAGCTCTTCCGGATCGCCGCGATGGACGCGGTCAGGCAGCTGGAGGTGGACGCGTGGAGTCCGTTCTTGACGCGGCTGGGACTCGGGGAGGAGGAGACGCACAACGTGCAGGACGTGAGGAAGAGGCTGGGTGAGGGAGGGATGTCAGAGGATGACTGCGAGGAGATCTGTCGGGCGCTGGATCAGCGAGCGGATCAGGACGAGGAGCGAGAGGGAACCCAAGTCTCGTTCCAGCAGATCATGCAGGTAGTGCAGAAGTATCGCATCCCCAAGCCATGGTATGCTCCCTGAAGGCCGGGAGGAGGAGAGGAGAGGAGAGGAGAGGAGAGGAGAGGAGAGGAGAGGAGAAGCAGTAAGGCTTTTATGAGTTGATTCAGGGCTGTTTGGCAAGGGCGATCACGTTCAGCATGAGCTCATTGTCGCTCTTCGCCATCATCTCCTGCACCACCGCGATGCTGTCTTGCAGTAAAGTTTGCTGACAACAAGTGTGAGACAAGTGTGGGAGATGAAGGACAAGGAGGACTAGGAGAGGAGGAAGATATGAAGACAGCACGACGAGGGTGCTGGGCTCGGATAGGGAGGAGGCGGGAAGAGGACACCTGGGAGCTTCTTCCTCTTGCTTTGGGAGTCTTCCTCATGCCGTCGAGCTCGTATAGTATCCCTGCAGCCTCTCAGCTCCTTCCCTCCTCAGCCGACGATCCTCACCGTCCTTCTCGACGTAGCAGATGAAGTGGAGCACAGACTGGAAGGAAGACTCTTCTGCTCCGCTCCTGAACTTATCAACGTTGGTGTCTCCCTGTGTGAGAACACAGTGACTGGGAAAACCTCCGCTTCCACTCTCCTCCTCGCGCTCCTGCTCCCTCCTCCACTTCTTCCCTGCCCTCTCTTGGCTACACTCCCTCCTCTTCCTCCTCCTCCTCCTCCTCCTCCTCCTCATGCCTTGCGTGCAAGCTCGTTGTGCCGAATGGCGATGTCTTCGTCCTCCTCTAGCGCAGCCGCACAGTCCAGGGGAGACTTGGAGAGGTTCGAGGAGACAAACTTGTGCAGCCATCCTCCTTTTCCCTCCTGCAAGCTCGTCAGCAGAACGAACAAGCGTCCTGCCCCCTCTCCTACCATCCCCTCACCCCTCTTCCTCCTCCTTGTCCTCCTCCTCCTCCCTCACTCGTTCTTCTTTACCTCTCGCAGCTCAGAAGGAATGCTCGCAAACGCGTGGATCATCGCAATCGTGCCGCAAGCATTGCCAACAGTCTGATGGACGAAGAAAGGAGCTTCTCCCCCTGCTCCTCCTTCTCCTGCTGCTGCTGCTGTCAGTCAAGTTCGCGCAGTGAGTCAAGACTACATGAAGCATCGCTCTCGACGCTCTCCTTGTAACTCGGGGTGATGGGGAAGCAGACGAGTACCTGGAGTGAAATGAGGAAGGAAGCAGAAGGGGGTTGGGCGAAGAGGAGGAAGGGGGAAGGAGAGAGGAAGGTACCTGAAGAGAGAAAGGGGAGAGAGGAGAGATGGAAAGGAGATGGGAGAGGAAGAGGATGGAGTTGAGTACAACGGGAATGAAAGGAGGAAGGTGGTGGTAACAGTGAAGGTGAAGGGATCAGGGAGCGACAGACCGCATAGGTCGGCGAAGGAACGAGAGCGAGCAGCTCAGGATCAAAGCCGAAGACTTCAAAGAAAGAGACGCTCATTGGAAGGCCAATCTGGAAGAAATGCGATAAGAGCAGAACAAGGAAGGAGCAGAGGACAAGAAGAGAGGAAATATCGAGAAGGAGGAGCGGAGAAGGAGGAGGGAGGAGGAGGAGGTAGACCTGGTACCCCAGCTCATTGAAAATGTCAGGGTTTGACTCGAGGGGCAGCCATTTCTTCCTGCGAAATCCTCACACGATGCTCTCCTCCCTCCCCTGCCTGCCTGAAAAATCGATCTCCAATCTTGCGGCGAGTCGCCTTGATGAGCTTCAGTGATGCACCGATCAAACTGCCTGCGTCTTCAGGTGAGCAAAGAAGGAGGGAGGGAGAGAAGAAGCAGATGAGGGAGGGAGGGAGGGAGGGAGAGAAGAAGCAGGCGAACGAGGGAGGGAGGGAGGGGGATAAGTCGAAGTCACTTGATCCTCACCGATGGTTCCCTCTTCCCCGTTCTCCTCCGCTAGAGCGCGCAAGCACGCGTACAGGCCTACGGCCTTATAGCTCCGCAGGTCACCCCAGCTCATCTCTGATAGCAAGTGAGGAGAGGGAGGGCAGAGGAGGTGGTGGACAGACCTCCGGCAGACCCTGCGATGCTCTTCACGATCTCCGTCTCCACCACCTGGATTCTAGCTGGGCTTGGGCCGATGGAGACGTCCTTGAGGATGTTGTCAATCTGTTCTGAGTCAAGAGGAGGAAGTGAAAGTGAAAGAGGAAGGGGGAGGGAGGGTGGGATAGGATAAGTGGGTGGGAGGCTGGTGGGGAGAGGGGGGAGAAGAGGAAGGGAGCGAGAAAGGGAGGGAGGGGGGGTGACGTCATGACCTTCTGATTGAACTCGCCGTCCATCCTCTTGGAAATCCTTTCATTCAGCTCCTTAACCTTCTCCAGATCGCACAAAGATGATTCGCTGAGAACCATCCCCGTCGCTTGCTCCATCAACCAGACGATTCTCTAATCGCAATCTCAACACCATACGCTCCCTCCCTTCCACGTCTCACTTCACGTTGCAGCTTCGCAATCGACGAGTCTGACTTGTTCCGAAACTTTTCAAGCTTTGACCTCAGCAGCTCTGTTGGATTCTCATCTGGCAAGGGGTCAGGAGGGCGCGGAGTTGGGACTGATCTACTGGGCCGGAGGAACAATCTTGATCTCTCATCTTCGGTCAGCAGTCTGTTCAGAGGATCTCAGATTCGGTACTTGACATCAGCTCCTGTCACCTCGAATAGAACATTCTGAAAACATCGTCCATCGACAGGACCTGCCAGCTCGCTTCACTCTCCCGGCACAACCAGGAGTATCCCATCAGCATCAAGCTTGCACATCACCTGAGGTCCAGCAACAACACTCGGAAACTGAGACTCGTCGTTGACGTCGCAGGATTGCCTCCACGAGTCGTGCAGAGATCTGAAGACTCTTGTCACACGTTGGTCCTCCTCCTCGTCCTCCTCCTCCTCCTCCTCCCCACCTCACTCCCTGCAAGTGTCCCATCAGATCCTTGTCCTGCTTCATGCTTGCGAGCAGTCGCCCTTCAAGCTCGCTGGCCCAGGACTCATCGATCTCCACTCCTGAGAAGCATTCTCACAACAAACGATTCGCAGATCGCTGGCTTACCCTTTTGCCTTGCAAGCAAGTCCCTCTCCTCCTTCACAAACGCAATGAACGATTCGATGACCTCCACCTTCACCTCCGCCGACTCTTCCGCCGACACAGCTTGCACTCCATGTCGGAGTTGATCCAAAGTCACTTTGACTTCAGGCCCCTCCTGCAAACCTTGTCATCATCATAATTGACTGCTCTTCCAATACAAACAGACACATTATTCTCACAAACACTTTCTCACGAGCATTCCTCTCTCATCTCCTCGTCAGCTACAAGTATAGTCACCAGCATCTTCTCCTCTCCGATCCCGAGGGCCTTGCCCAGCGTCTGAGGGTTGAAGCGCTTGTGGGGGAAAAGGCCGTGAAAGAGCGCTGCCACGTCTGCCACGTCCCCATCGCAGATCTCATGAAATCGACTGATGGCCTCACCAACGCCTGTCGGTATGTCAAGTTGACACCCGCGTCTCATTTCGTCTCCTCTGTTCTCGACCTCGCCGTTCTGATTGATCCTACCTCCTCTCCTCTCCTCCTGTTCTCCTCCTGTTCTCCTGTGCTCCTGTTCTCCTCTCCTCTCCACCTGCTCTCCTCCTGTTCTCCTGTTCTCCTCTCCTCCTGTTCTCCTCTCCTCCTCTCCTCCTGTTCTCCTCTCCTCCTGTTCTCCTCTCCTCCTGTTCTCCTCTCCTCCTCTCCTCCTGTTCTCCTCTCCTCCTGTTCTCCTCTCCTCCTGTTCTCCTCTCCTCCTCTCCTCCTGTTCTCCTCTCCTCCTCTCCTCCTGTTCTCCTCTCCTCCTGTTCTCCTCTCCTCCTCTCCTCCTCTCCTCCTGTTCTCCTCTCCTCCTCTCCTCCTCTCCTCCTCTCCTCCTCTCCTCCTCTCCTCCTCTCCTCCTCGCCCTTCACCTGAAGCCATGATGACGCTGCGACTGATGCCGTGGGTCGAGCAACAAATCCATTCCCTTGAGGCGGGCCGGCCTGTGAGTACCAGAGGGTTGTACCAGATCGGGAGATTTGTACCAGGAGAGAGAAAAAAAGAAATTGAGTAAATACTTTTGACTTTCTTGATTGTTGTTGCGACCGTTACAGATAATTAGATGAGCGTTGCAGCGGTTGCGATGCCACGAAGACATGGAATACCAGTAGAGGATGCAGAGGCGAGCATGGGAGAGGGGAAAGATGGAGCAGGAGCAGGAGCAGGAGCAGGAGCAGGAGCAGGATCAGGAGCAGGAGCAGGAGCAGGAGCAGGAGCAGGAGCAGGAGCAGGAGCAGGAGATAGAGGATGCATGTGAAATCAAGTTGCTAAGATGGTACAAGATGATGGACCAAGACGACAGGGACGGTGAGATGTTTCTGGGCTAGAAGAAGGCGAGGATGGTGGCGATATGTGTGTACAAGTGAACTAGGACAGAATAACGGATGATGATTCAAACTCACCCAGTGACAACTCCCTGACAACTCATTACAACCCAGGAGCTCGCGCAGTGAGATATTGAGATCAAGGTGGCAGCGGGAGGAGGTAGCATTGCGGGCTGGCGAGGATGACTTCGGAAAACAAACATATTCGAGGCACCATGATCCGACCGTCCTTGAGAAGAACGCCTGAGAACGCGTCTGTCAAGGACGCCGCGGGGTTGCCATGTAAGTAGAACGATGTTCCTTGACTGTTGAGCCTCGGCCTGCCTTCTGCCCTCTCTTGATCCTTCTCCTACAGGGGGTTGTGCGCTCATCCCGCTCGCTCCGGCGTCGGGTAACGTGCCTCGTCCGAGTGCCGTGGACGAGATTCTAGCAGAGGAGATCCCTCGCTGCCAGCAGTGCTTCGGCTACATCAACGCATACTGCATGTTCGAGAAGAAGGCATGGATCTGCAGCCTGTGCGGGAACAAGAACGACCTGTCCTCCAGGTATGCCACCAGCGCCGTCAGGGCAAGCCTGCAGGAGCTGCAGCGCGGCATAGTGGACGTTGTGGAGGAGTGTGTGGAGGTTGATGTGGGCGACATCTTCTCCAAGGACCTGAAGCCGCAGGAGCGACCAGCTGTCGTTGCCGTCGTGGACGTTTCTGGCTCTGAGGACTTCGTGGAGGTGGTCAAGTCAGGGATCCTGGCGCTACTGGAAGCACTGCCCCCCTACGTGCTGTTCGGGCTGATAACCGTCTCCGACTCTATCGGCGTCTATGACATGCGGAGCTCGTTCCCCCACTGCTTTCAGATCCCAGTGCCTGAAGATGGCGAGCTGGACGTTGCCATCGCCGACATCCTCCCTGCCGACTGCTTCCTCGTCCAGCTGGGATCCAGCAAGCCCACCATCTCAGCGGCTGTGGAGAGCATCTCAGCGGCTGGCAGCAGCGAGCAGGGCGCGGCGCCACGTCGGTTTGCGCTGGGGTCTTGTCTGGACACGCTGCTGGAGATGTTCGAAGAGGACGCGCAGTTCAGCCTCCGCATCATCAGCGTCATCGGGAGCAGACCCAATTTCGGGCTGGGGGCGCTAGAGGAGCAGGCACAGACTGCGTCCTTCTTGAGCCAGGGCATCGCAAAGAACCTCCCCAAGGGCTCAGAGTTCTATAGCAGCCTGGTGGACCGGGTGACGTCGATCTCAGCAGTCGTCGACCTGTTCGTCATCGCCGAGGAAGGGTATGTTGGGGTGGACGCGATGATTCCGATGGTGGAGTGTGCCGGAGGAACGATGGTATACTACCCCGGCATCGATACCTCCGCCCTTCCTCAGGTTCCTCCTATCCCCTCACAAGCCCCTTGCTGATCGCTCCCCTCCCGTCCAACAGGATCTGTACCGCACCTACTCCCGCCCGTTCGCCTCCAACGCGATCCTACGACTGAGATGCTCGTCCGGGTTTCAGGTGCTTGGCTGTTGCCTGCTCGGTGATGGTGATGTGAGACATGCCAGGTGGCGCGAGCTTACGGGCATCTGAGTGCGGACAAGCAGTACGACAATCTCTACCATGTTGCTTCCTGCCACAGGTGACCCTCTCTCACCTCCCCCTTCTCCCCCCCCCCCCGGTCTCAAGACCTCTTGACCCTCCTGCACAACCTCCTCCTCCTCCTCCTGAATCTCTTCTTCGACATCCTACTCTCTTGATCTTCAACCTAAATCTCCTCCTCTTCCTCTAACACTGAATGCCTGTTTCACAGTGAAAGTTGTTTCGCTGTTGACTTCGAGTTCGACAACCCTTCAGGCGTCACATCAAATCTTGACGTGCAAGTGAGAATCGATCTTACTCCTCTTACCTTTCTCTTGCCCTGCTCTCCCCCGCCTCCCCCATTTGATGCCCCTCTGTCCACTAGAATCCTCCCAATCACAGGTTCCTTTCTGTCTCTTCGTCGCCCTTTCAAAATTCGTTCTCTTCCTGCTCCACCACTTTCGCTCCGTTTGTGCGTGCAATCAAACACCTTTCAAACTATCTCTGTCAACCTCCTTCACTCTTCCTCTCCTCTGATCTTTCAGGCTTCAACGTTATGTGCCGACTGATCCGTTTCCTCCAGCCGACCCTCCAGCTCGCCTTCTCCTACTCCTGCATCGTGCCTGACCCCGAAGCGAATTCCTTTCAAGTGCAGCGACGACTGAGGATAGAAACTTCTCGCGTCGATATTGGAAGACAGGTGACCATCACCACCACATACACCTCCTCCTCCTCCTCCTCCTCCTCCTCCTCCTCCTCCTCCTCCCCCTCCCCCTCCCTTCTCCTTTTTCTCATTTGTAGGATTTCCTCCTCGTTCTGCACCTTCCCCTGCCTACTCGTCGCCGACCATCCCTCCGCTCCCTTCCTTGTGTTGCTCTCCTTGTGCTGCTCTCCGTGCTCTCCTTGTGTTGCCCTCCTTGTGCTGTCAACTTCAGCAACACTCACACGGCCTGCAGGCTCTTGACATCTACGCGCACGCGGACTCTGAAGTTGTCGCTTCCCTCCTATGCCACAAGATCATCGTTGCACAGGCGACAGAAGGAACAGGTAGGACTTAGCTGAACTCTCAAGCTCCTCCTCCTCCTCCTACTACTACTACTACTACTACTACTACTACTACCGACTTCTACTTTGCTATCCACTTTGACGGTTCCGCACGGCAGGAGAAGCTCGCATGCTGCTGCAGGACTGGTTGGTGATCCTGACGGCGAGGTGAAGTTCTTGGAGAGGTAGCAAGAGCGATGACGTCAGCGCAGGTACAACGAGAACATGTTGCGAAGGAGGGAAGCCGGTCTAGACCTACAGTTCTCAAGGTTTCCCAACTTGGCTTCTCTCACGAAAGTGGTGAGTCTTCCACATGAAAGCTCCCCCGTCTCCATCCACGTCATCAACGTCTCTCACGCTGCTCAAGGTCTATGGAATGTTGCGCGGCAAGCTGCTCGACCCCGTCGTGGTGTCTCGTGATGAACGCTCATTCATCTGCTACCTCTGCTCCAGCCTCACCCCTGAGGTCCCTCGATCTTCTCCTCCTCCTCCTCTCATGCTCCTCCAGGCCTTGACCTACACCATTTACCCGAAGCTTATCTCCTTCAAAGATCCCAACAGCTCTCAGCCAAGTGGAGGACCTCTCTTCCTGCTCAACTCTACTCTTGACAATGTAGAATATCCCTCTACACCCACGGCCTTCCTCCTCCCCCCAATGAGCCTCTCCCTCTCTTACTCATATGCTGACATCCTCCTCTTCTCGTCTTGACTTGCGAGCAGGCGACCGATGGGATCTTTTTGCTGGACAGCTACACGGACCTTTGCGTCTACTGCACCGCTCAGGGGCTCGAGACCTTTCCTTATCCTCCTCCTCCGGACTGCGGACTGCGCACCTACATCCAATACATCAAGGTAGGTTGGCATGACAGTAGCACTGATCTTGTGGTTGAGGTTGGTTGTACATGTTGGAAATTCCGTGTTGTGATTGAGGTTGGAGGAGGTCGTGGTGGAGGTGAAGGGGAAGAAGGATATTGATGCTGATGATGAAAAGACGACAACGATGTTGTTATTTTTGTTGATGATGGTCATAACGGCACAGATGTTGATAACAGTGTTCATAATCATTCAAGTGACCGTTCTCCTCGCAGGAGAACAGAGCCATCTGTCCGCACGTGTACTATACGAAAGCCAAGGATGGGACGGAGCAAGACTTTATCAGCCGCCTCATCGAAGAGCCTTCGGTTCTGCTCCTCTCATGCGCTCTCTCCCGGCTGACTCGCTCCATCTCTTCAGCACAGGACGGCGGAGAGCGGAGCGACGGAGTGGGTCGGAGCTGCGGCCAAGGGATACAACGTCTTCCTCGAGGTGTTGGGCACGGAAGTGAAGGAATTCCTCGAGTAATCTTGACCCAACAACGCATCTCAACCAGTGCTAACGACGAGTTTCTCTCCCGCCCGCCCTTCTCCCTCTCCTTCTCAGCTCGTCTCCTGCTTGCTCTGAAGGTTCTGCCAGTATCTCCACCCGTAGCTCAATCCGATCTCCATCGGCTCTGCGTTCCTGAAGCACACGGCCTGATTGAGAAAGACGACAGGCCATGTCGGACTGAGGTGTCCATCCTCCACCGCCATCCTCCACACCAGCTGCAGCACGTTCTTCTGCATGCTCCTCGCGTACTCCTCTTGCGTCATCCCCTCCTCGTACGCCAGGTCATTCGCAAACATGCCGAAGTTGGCTGGTCCAACCGGCCCACCGTCCTCTACCGGAACGAAGAATCTCCCTCGAGCCCAGTTGACGTCTGGCTCTACCCTGAGGTCTTGCGAGGCCTCGTCGAAGAAGATGTTATGTCCTGCGACTGCTCCTGTCATGTTGTCCGAGAGGTCTGCAGCAGAGCCCGCGGCGTCGATCAGAGTCATGAGCTCTCGGTCGTACACCACCAGCGTGTCTGGCTTGTCGAAGGCGAATGCCACTGCCTTGTCCCCTTGCGATAACGATGACCATGTTCCCTCCTTCGAGTAGCCGCTGATCAACGTCCCTGCTGGAAGAGTGACTTCCGCAACATGCTCGCTGGCTGCCACTGCGACGTACAGGCCCATGCCGCTGCATACCTTGGACTCCCCCACAAAGATCTCGATGCCGAGGTCTTGAACAAGACAACCATACTTCATCTTTTCTTGACTTTGCGAGGGGCCCATGTATGGCTCGATTTCTTCCTCCTCCCCTTCCTCTTGCTCGTCCCTCTGCCCCTGATCCTCCGTTGACATTGTCAACCTGCAGCTTCCTACTTTCCTCTGAGGAAAGGCAGCATGAAATCTGTTGAGCTTTAGACTTCTCATCGGCACAAGTTGGCAGGATGAGGAGGAGATCAGGTTCAAGCTGGGCATGCGGAGAGGAAGGTGCGAGAAGGTCAGCCCCGTCCCTCCCCCTACCGCTGCCACCAACATCGCCACGGCCGCCATTAGTCGCATCCTGCGACACCCGGATATGGGGTCGGGCCAGCCCCTTCAAGGTAATCCCCGGCCTCTGCCCGGCCTGCTCTGCGGCCTGCCGCTGCGGCGGCCCGGTCCAGGGCCCGGTCACCCGGAGTCACCAGCCGGCCCCCGGCAGGCCGGCCGGGCCGGCCGGGCCTGCCAGCCACCGTAGTAACAGTGGTATGATTGAATAGGACTAGTACTCAACGGTTGCAAGTCACGTCACCCCGAGTCAGTGAGTTGTCAAGTTTCCCAGGCTTCCGGATCAGGTGGAAGAGATCCTTCAGAGAGTCTGACATAATTCACATTCAATAACCATAGGAAAGGGCTGTAAGACAAGAGAAGAGCCAGGTCTCATTCAACTTGACGGTTGCAAGAGCAGGCGACTCGTCAGTCAGGGTGTGGAGGGAGGAGACTCGTAGTCCTTGATGCCAGACTTCCTCGGTGACAGCAGCCCGAAGTCCCGCTTGCTCTCATCCGCCATGAGCTGCTGCACTCGCCTGACCGAGCCTCCTTCATTCGCGTAGCTGGCCCTCGTGTGGGCGGATGCGGCGAGAGGCGCAGGAGCAGAGCCGCTAAGGCTTGTAGGCAAGGACCCTACATGGCTTGCTCTCTGACGACGACGCGAGGTTGTGCGGGTGATCGTCGAGCTCGCGTCTCGAGGGCCTCGGGTCGTGCTGGTGCGCGAGGTAGCCGGGGGAGTAAGTCGAGTCTCGATCTCGCGACCGCAATGGCGCGGGAACACCTCGGGGACTGTCAGCCTGATCACAGCGTTAGAGGATGAGAGTCAAAGTACCGTCATGGATAAGGCAGGGGAGGTGGTGGAGGAAGTTTGTGGAGGGGTGTGGTAGTCTTACTGGAGGAGGTAGTGGTAGGAGAAGGACGAGGACGATGATGAGGACGAGGACGAGGAGGATGTGGAGGGCAAGGAGGAGGAGGTGGTGGTGGTTGAGAAGGTGGTGGAGGAGGAGGTGGAGGAGAAGGTGGTGGTTGTAGTGGTGATGGCGCGTACCGAGTCTCGCTCTCCTCGATCGGATCGACGACGCCTCGGGAAGTTCGACCTGCCGGTGAACTCGTGGAGCTCGGGGACGGTCTTGTGCTTGGTGTTGCTATCATCCTCTTCATTGCGCCTGCAGCATGCTGTACCGAACATGACGCTCTCCCCCTGCCCCATGATGCTCTATGTTGTACGTCTATTTGGTCCAAATGGCGTTCGATCGAAGAAGAGCTCTACTGAACATTTGCTTGCATCCTTCACGTTGTGAACCTAGTGCGATTCCTGTTGATCGATGATAACACCTAACCAAGGCAAATTAGCGTTGCTCCATCCCCTCCCCTCCCCGTTCCTGTGCTTGACAGACACATCAATTCCCCTCGCCTCTATCACGCAGCTGTTTTTCCTACCTCGCTCTCTTACATGCAACTTGCTGTTGATCTCTGAACTCAAACGTTCATCCCTGCTCTTCTCTCTCCCTCTTGCGCTTCCTCCCTCCCTCACTGCTCTTCCTCCTTCCCGTTCAAATTCCGGATGTCAGCCATTTCGCAGGGATTTCGCAGGGCAATTTCCTGCAAATCTCCAACAAATTACGCCTAATGCAAGGTACATTTTCCTGCACAAAAAGGGCTCGATGCGGTCACAAACGATCGAGGAGAGTGAGGAGGAGGAGGAGGAGGAGAACGACGATGAGGAAAGAGAAAGACAGGAGCACGAGGAGAAGGACGAGGAAGGGGGGGAGGAGGAGGATGAGGTCGAGGAATGGGAGCAGGCAAGCTCGAAACGAACTTTGATTGAATTTGACATTGCAGGTCTGTAGATGAAATCGTCCGCCAGCAGAGTTCATCCTTCTCCTCCTCCTCCTGATCGGCTCTGAATCTCCGGAGCTGCCATGGAAGCAAGCAACAACAGCAACGCGTCCCACAAAAGCACCATCTTGCAACAATGCTTGTTGCTCTTCCGCAAGCAGGCGATCCTGAAGCGGAGGAGCTGGAAACTGACTCTCCTTGAGATTCTGTTTCCTCTGTACGTCATCATCATCCTCGTCATCGTGAAGTCGATCAACTTCATTCCATATGAGGTACCGATGACCCTCCTCTTCTCTTCTTGCTCGCCATGTCGTTGCAATGATGTTGTCTAGGTTGTCAAGACACCAGCATCCGGTGCTCCTCCAGCAATCGATATCTTGCAGCCGCCATGGCCAAAGCCCGTCCCAGTGAAAGTTGGAGTCGTCAACACAGGAAGTGCGCTGTCTGTCATGGTTCTCAACGAGCTGTGTTTCTATCTCGGCAACGTGAAGAAGGAATACTCATCCCAGGCCTGCCCGACCGTCTTGTCCTTCGGGACAAGAGAAGCGCTTCTTGCTACGAATGGGCAGAGTTACGATCCCTCGACCAGCCTCGATTTTGGCGTCGTTGTCGACGACACCAAGGATGAATTCATGCTGGTAAGAACAGTTTGAATTTTCAAGTTTGTTCTCAGGAGTCCTTTGTCATTGTGCTGCAGGTTTATCAGGAGCTGACGTTGCGCAATGTTTCGACTGGAGATACAGACGAGGGGAATGCTGCAGAGTTTGGCCTCCTCTGGCTGCAGTCTCTAGTCAGCAGAGTCCTGATGGAGCACAAAGGAGTTCGCATTACAAGTGAAAACAACACAGAGATTTTGCTGGGTGATCTTCGCTTCAAGATGCTTTTCCAGGAATTCCCACAGCGCTCGAATCTACAGATTGTGAACTTCATCAAGATCATTTTCCCTGTCAATTTCATCATGATCTTGTTCATGAATCTGCAAGCAACCATGATTCAGGTGAACGATTGAGTACTAGTGCCCTTCTTACATTATACCTTGCAGATTGGCCAGGAAAAGGAGAAGGGGATCAAGGAGGCTTTGAGCCTGAAAGGGATGTCCCCTATATCGTTTTGGATCACATGGTTCTTGTCGGAGTCTATCATTGTGCTGGGAAGCGTGTTGGTTTCGGTATGCGGATTGTATGCTGGCCGTATCTTGGTTCATACGAACTTTGGCATCGTTTTCCTTGGTTTCTTCCTGTTTGGGATGTCTTTCATCTGTCTCGGGTTCTTGATCAGTCAGTTAGCATCGAAGGGTCAGACTCTGTTTGTTGTCGGAGCGCTCATGCTCTTGGTGCTGTCGGGGATATTTTACTTGGTTCAATTCTTGATGATTAACAAGGGGGTAGCCAGGCCTTTAGTGCTCTTGACCTTCTTGCTGTCTCCTGTTCCCTTTGGTCATTTCTTGTACACGATGCTGGACGGTGAGCTCTTAACGACAGGGTGGACTTCGGACCTGAGCCCGTACGCAAATGATTGCTTCATCTTTCTCGTCGTCGATGCAATCCTCTACTTCGGTCTTAGTTTGCTCATAGACACCGTTACAAACAATCCCGAATTGAAATTCTGGAAATCTCTGCCCAGCAACACTGTACATGTAGAGGACGGGAATCGGAGCGGACTAGAGATGCGAGATGTGCATAAAACCTTTCAGGTGTGGGAGAAGAATCAGTACGGGTTCTCAGTGAGGAAGGAGATTCAGGCTGTGAATGGCCTCAATCTCAAGGTAGCGGGGCATTGCCAAACCTGTTCACTGAGTTGATCAACTTTCCTCTCAGGTCGAAGACAACACCATCTTCTGTTTGCTCGGGCACAACGGCGCTGGGAAGACCACCAGCATGTCCATCATGACTGGCGGCCTCCTACCGGACTCAGGCTGGGCCACGATAGCAGGTCAAGATGTAGTTCGAGACAAGGCCAAGATCCGGAAGAGCCTGGGGGTCTGCCCGCAGTTCGATGTCCTCTACAGCGAGCTGTCTTGCTGGGAGCACATGCTGCTGTACGGGGGGATGCAGGCAATGGAACATGTCGGGGTAGGGCTGAGCTGACGACGGTCATGGCAGGGGCTAGATGAGCAGCAGTGTGAGGAGGAGGCGAGGAGGCTCTTGTCCTGCCTGTCCTTGAGCAGCAAGGCTCATCAGAGGGCGGGGTACCTCTCAGGAGGGCAGCAGCGGAGACTGTCCTTGGCCGTTGCACTTATCGGAGACCCGAAGATAGGTAGGAGGGGAAGAGAGGGAGGGAGGAGGGGAAGGGAGGGAGGGAGGGAGGGAGGGAGGGAGGGAGGGAATGAAGGAGTTGACGATGCCTAATCTCAGTGCTGTTGGATGAGCCCACCACTGGCCTTGACCCGGACAACCGTCGGAAAGTTTGGAAGCTGCTGCAAGCTCAGAAGCAGAAGAGTACCATTATCCTGACGACTCACAGCATGGAGGAGGCAGACTTGCTCGCCGACACCATCGGTGTGATGTCAAAGGGGAAAATGCAAGTTCAGGGAACGAGTTTGGAGCTGAAGCAGGCATTCGGGACAGGATACATCCTGCATCTGCTCAAGGCAGATGGAAACATCAAGAACGAACCGATTGTAGAGTTGATCAAAAGCATCGTTGAGAGCGCAAGTCTGCACTCAAACATCCAGGCAGAGCTGACGTTCAATCTTCCTGTGGGAACCGACTCAAAGTTCCCTGAGATGTTTGAGAAGATAGAGGAGGAGAAGCAGTCGGTCGGGATCGCAAGTTACGGGCTGAGCATGACGACTCTAGAGGAGGTGTTCCTCAACCTTGCCGAGAAAGAGCGACAGGAGAACACGGAGCAGTCCTCAGATAGCGCCGAGACCAACGAAGAGATCAAGATGGAGCTAGACGGGGAGACGGAGGCGGGAGCTGGGGGTGAGATGGAAGACTTCGAATGCGAAGTTTCTTGGAAGAGGCAGATACTGGCTGTGCTGTATCAGACGCTGCAGAACTCAAAGCGATATCCTCTCTCTTACGTCCTCCTCGTCTGGCAGCCCATCGTGTTCTGCCTGGTTGCAGGGCTGGTGCACCCGCTGACGAAGCCCAAGAGCCCGGAGCCCGTGAGTCTCTCCGCTGTGTTCGACCCCTTGTGACGTGCTGCGACAGGTGCTGATGGAACCTTCGGTCCTGCCAGACAAGTACAGGAATGCGATCCCATACTCGGTGAGAGGGAGAGAGGCGGGAAAGAGGACGTGGCAAGTGACAGTGACGGGCAGGTCGGGGGGACGACGTTGAATCAGACCCGAGACGACCAACTGCTCGGGTTCGTGCTGGGATCTTCGTGGCCCATACAAGGCTATACAAGGGCGTCTTTGGCTCAGGGATACAGTGACTTCAAGATCGACGACGGCTTTTTGTCGAATGCGGTTGAGATGCTCGTTGCGCAGAACACCACAGGAAGCTTGTTGTTCAAGTTCAACCACACGATAGCATACAGCTCTAGGGTCCTCCTCTCCAACTTCTGGAACTCTTCCTCTTTTCAGACGGCTCCCCAGTCCTTTCCAGGAGGGATACGCTGCGATTATCTTGTCTGGGCGCTTCCTAGCTACCAGAACAGCTTCGGGACAGGAGGCATCATGTACTTTGTAGCGTCAGCGTTCGGGCTGCTGTCAGCCTTCTATGCGGAGGAGATGGTCAGGATCAGAGAGGTTGGAGTACCCTGCTCTGCATCAGCAGCATGATGACGCCGTTGCCGCAGACACGGGTGAAGGAGATGCTGCTGCTGTCCGGGTTGTCGCGGAGGCTCTTCTGGTTCTCGTTCTTCATTGCCCATCACTGCCTCTTCTGGATTTCAGTGGCGATCGGGCTCATCGTAGGTGGAGGTGTGAGGCCGAAGGCGATCTAATGCTGTTTGCAGGTGCTGCGAGTCACCAGGATGGATGGGATCAGCAACAACAACTTCCTTGGATACTTCCTGCTCAACTTCTTCACGGCCCCAGCCCTCATCCTCTACGGTTACGTCTTCTCCTTCGCCTTCAAGAAGCAGGAGACGGCTCAACAAGCGCTTGGTGAATTCATCAATCTCACTCTCGCGCTCCCATGGGTCATCTTGGCCTTTGCTACCTCCACCAAGAACGTGCCGCTCGAAAACGCCTTGAGCCTGATCCCGGGGTTTGCGCTCTATCGGGGATACTCGATCCTCGAAGCTGCCGCTGTGGTGGGATCGCCCTTCTCCGCAAGGGACGTCTTTCTCTGGGTAACTGGAGCTGAAGAGGAGAGCGGTGCTTGACTTGTGGTCGCAGAACAGAGAGTTGATCCAGGTGTTCATGATGCTCGTCATTGACAGCATTATCTTCCTCCTCTTCCTTACCTTCATGGAGTCCGGGCTCGCGCGAAGATTCGCCAGGTCCCTGTCCGGGACGGTTCAGTCCTCTGCGTTGATCAGCGCCGGGGAAGCGGACGACGGCAAGGACGTGGAGCTGGATGAACTGATGCCTCCGATCGTCTCGTCCACTCGAGACTTCATCAGCACAAGTCCTATCATTGCCGACGAGCTCAAGAAGACTTACTCGGGCCATGGGGCCCCCGACGTTCGCGCTTGTCGTGGAGTCTCTTTCAAGGTCAACTCAGGGATCGTCTACGGCCTGCTAGGGTGTGTCTAATCTTCTTGCTCCTCTTCATGCTGTTCCTCGTTCTTGCTACCTCCCTGTATCCTCCTCGTGCTCGTCTCCTGCTGCCTCCTCTCGTTCTTCTCCTGCTTCCCCTCCAGTCGCCTGACAGGTCCTGCTCAGCCCCAACGGCGCGGGGAAGAGCACGATGATCTCGATGATGGTTGGAATCGAGAAGGCGGACGAGGGCGATGCCTGGATCAACTCCAGCTCCGTCACCTTCGACCTTGCAGCTGCTCGAAGGGACATCGGCCTCTGTCCTCAGTTCGACGCTCTCATCGACAACTTGACCGGGAGGGAGCATCTTATCATGTTCGCAATGATCCGGTCTGCGTCTCCCACCCATGGTGCAGGTGCTGATGGGTTGACAGGGGCGTCCCCCCCCGGCTCATGAGCACGGTGGTGGAGGGAGCGATCAAGGACATGAAGCTCGAGCAGAAAGCTGGCGCCCTCACCAAGACCTACTCGGGGGGGAACAAGAGGAAGCTGAGTGTCGCCATCAGCCACGTCGCGAACCCCAAGGTTTGACATCACAATGACGATGACCCACGATGACGATGATGACATTGTTGATGACGATGACGATGACGATAATGATGATCACGATGATAGAGATTAAGATGATGGAGATGGAGATGGAGATGACGATGACCGAGTTCGATGAGGATGAGGGAACGAGGGCGAGGACGATCAGAGGAGAGGACCAGGATGGCGAGGACGATGACGATGATTGCAGTGCGTCTTCATGGATGAGCCGAGCACTGGAATGGATCCAGAAACCCGCCGCCACATGTGGAACTACATCTCCAGCATCGCCAAGAAGCGAGCAGTGGTGCTGACTACACACTCTATGGAGGAGGCAGATGCTCTCTGCAGCCAGATCGGAATCATGATTCAAGGGCATCTCAGGGCCCAGGGCACTTCCCAGGAGCTCAAGAGCAGATTCGGCAGCGGATATCAAGTTTACGTTCGCTTCCGCAATGACGAGGTAGCGAGGGACCTGGAGGACGTGCAGAAGAGACTTGGGACGCTGAGTGAGGGGCTGGTAACGGACCAGTCCTCCCCGAAGATCTTCAGGTTTGCCATCCCACGGACAGACCTGAGGCTCGGAGACCTGTTCCGGATGCTGCTCACAATCAAAGACGACTTTGGAGTGGAAGATTTCAGGTGACGAGGACAGTGCTGCTGCTCGGTTGCTCTCCTGACTCAATTTCACACCAGCGTTACACAGACAACGCTCGAAGACGTCTTCCTTCACTTCGCCCGCATGCAGCCCTCCGACTGATGTTGAACAGAGCTGAGCTGTCTGCCGACAAGTGCATCGCAAGTCTCCATCCCCTCCCTCATCGTTCCTTAGAGTAGAGTAACTCGTAGCGGCTGCATTTAACTAAAAATTGGTTACAGCCGGCCTCGCTCCCACTCGTCACTAACTATTAGACGTGTAGCAAATGATCCACTGCCCCCAAGTATGAGTAAACACAAAAACTGAGGCGGACTTGCAAAGTAGGCCCGTTCAAAACCTGTTACGCGTCGTATGAGCTAACGAGGCGCCATGGGTCAGGGGGAGAGCTCTATGTTCGGTACAGCATGCTGCATGTGCACAGACGACAGCAACAGCAAGAGGAAGACCGTCCCCGAGCTCCACGAGTTCACCAGCAGGTCGAACTTCCCCAGGCGTCGTCAATCCGATCGAGACGAGCGAGCCTCGGTACGTGCCTCGTCTTCGTCCTCGTCCTCGTCCTCCTCCTCCTCCTTCCCTGACATGATTGTTCCTGTGCCTCTTCTCTAACGCTGTGATCAGGCACAGACCCCCAGGAGTGTTCCCGCGCCATTGCGGTCGCGAGATCGAGACTCGACTTACTCCCCCGGCTACCTCGCGCACCAGCACGACCCAAGGCCCTCGAGACGCGAGCTCGACGATCACCCGCACAACCTCGCGTCGTCGTCAGAGAGCAAGCCATGTAGGGTCCTTGCCTACACGCCTTACTCGCCTCTGCAGCAAGACGCCGTCAGCTTCTTCTCCGGCAGCCGCAGCGGCTCTGCTCCTGCGCCTCTCGCCGCATCCGCCCACACGAGGGCCAGCTACGCGAATGAAGGAGGCTCGGTCAGGCGAGTGCAGCAGCTCATGGCGGATGAGAGCAAGCGGGACTTCGGGCTGCTGTCACCGAGGAAGTCTGGCATCAAGGACTACGAGTCTCCTCCCTCCACACCCTGACTGACGAGTCGCCTGCTCTTGCAACAGAGAGAGCAACAGAGGGCATGCTCCTGGATACCAGATCCGCTCCCACAACTTGTAAAAACACAACCTGCGACGCTGTACATGACGAGGATGTAGTATGAGATATTATTCTTTATTTATTTGTTTCTGCGAATTCGAAAGAGAGGTGACAGAAAGGGTGGGGGGGGGTTAGACTAAATTGTACTCTTGGCATTGATAACATTACAAGATGGGGAAAAGACAAAAAACAGGATATAACATAATGGAGAGAAGAAGATTCTACATCCTTCTGATCGATGGGTTGTCCAAGCAAGTCTAAATGTCGTCAGTTGAATGAAATCTCTCAAGGATCAAAACACCTGATAGCCGAAGTCGAAATGGCACGCTGGCACCTTCGCACACGCATTTTCCATGGCGGCAGGATCACCCTATGTTTACAGATGTAAACCTTTGTGATAGAAGAAGCGCCAAACCCTTACCCTGTTGTCTTGCACGATTCTAGCGCACTCTGACTGAGTTCGAACGAGTGGTACCTCATGTACAGCACTCGAGCTTGACAGCTGAGTGTTGTGAGCCACTCCTGATCCTTTCATCTCTCGTGCGTGCTTCTCTTCAAGTTTTCGTTTTGCTTCCCAGACCTTGCGAGTTCTCGTCACAGCAAACAACCCGACTGAGATTTGATCATACCTTGTACTTCTGCAGCATAGACCGCATGGATGGGTATTGGTGAGAATCTTGACGACTTTCACTTGTTCCTCCTGATTCATCTTGTCTTTTCGGAATTCTCTGGCTATTCTGGTGATCTCGAGATTCTCGGATCGCGTCAACTCGCTTCAAGGACTGTTCCAGGATACTCTTCAGTTCAAGGATCCTGCTGCCCTTGCCCCTTGCAGCAAGAATGCGAGATACAGCCTCTGCATCGTTTTCGAGCTGCTTCTCAACATGCTGCGCCAGTTGCTTTGGAGTTTCATGTTCCCTTCCTACATCCATGCGCCTTCTGTTGCCACGAAGAAAGTTCCTTGTTGGATCCTCCTCCGTGCTACCCCTCGAGAAGATCTCGTTGTATTGATCCAGCTGCCGATTTGCAAGTTTTCTAGCTGCAGAAGAGATCTTCTCAGACTGCAGCAACGGAGTGGGAGAGAAAAGTTCCGATCGGATACTGTCAGTATCAAATTTACACCGAGATTGATTGCCTTGCCTGCTTTCTCAAAGTTGAAATTTTGGTGTTCCGTTCCGAACGAACGTGCTCCAATTCTTGATCCCGCTCTCGCCTCATGGAATCGTGAAGCTGTTTCCTCAACTGCTTTCATCCGTTAGCAGAGAAAACTTGCTTTAATATACATGTTTACCTCAACGAATTGATTCTTGCTGTCAGCCAGCACACTCCCGCCTCCATGCTGGGTGGCAAAGACAACAGCCACAACAAGGCACACAGGGGATGTGAGAGGACACGATGGCCAGCTTTCTGACCCACCCGCCACATGCTGTCCCTGCACCCTCACTGCCCTCACCGCCCATGCTAAAACCGGCCGATCGGGTGACCTGGAACGGCAATGTAACTATTTCTGTAACGTTTCATAACGGCAATGCTCTACTAGAAGTTTTATTAGTTAATGTTTTGCGAAGCTGAGGGGGGCTTGAAAGGACAAAAAATGTGGGGGTAGGGGTGGGGAAAATCGGTCGGAGTAAATTAATTGAGGGGTTCTAGGGGTTCATGTGAGTTGTATTTGGGGGTGGGGTAGTAGAAAATGAGGGTGGTGTCTAGTACATACAGGATTAGGGTGGGGGGTGGGGTAGCAAACGAAGAGTCGGGATGCTGGTTCTCAGGCTTGAGTCGCTGGGTGGCGTGAGCGGCCCAACATGCGTGCCGAAGAATCCTCCTATCGTGACGAAATGGGGAACCTTTGATGGTGAGAAGAATGATGTGCTTGCTTGTCTCCCTGTATCGCCCTCCCCATCTTGTGTCATGGCTCCTTGTCCGATTCCTCCTAGTGGCTGCTCGATAGTTGGATCGTCGTCGGGCGTTAAACCATTGCGCTGATCAGAAAATTGCATTTCAGGTTGCAATGGTTGTACAGATTGTACACCTGGAAATGATGTTGTCGGCGACTATATGCAGCAAAATGCTATTGCTGGGAGGTGAAATCTGGATAGCGTTTTGACATCAGTTGACCGTTCTTTGACAGAGTCGCTTTCATCTAAAGTTTTGGTACATGTGTCTGCCAAGAATGAATGTGTAAAGACTTTATGGATGGATGTATACGCGTTTTATAGACGGATGGTAAACACGTAAATGCATGTAAGATTGCTTCAAGTGTGCAAAAACATGCTTCATTGAGGCAAATCATGTTGCCCTTGATCAAATCTCCACAGCATGTACAAGTGTGACAGGTCAGAGATACAAACGTAAATTCTATTTGTTCACAGAAAATCGAAATTCGCGCACACAGGCTGTGGAACAAAATGATTTTGACAAAACCTCAAAACCTTGATTGGAATCGTCAAGCGGAAGCTGTGCAAGTGTGTGGCCGTACCTGAATCAAGGATTCCTTTCTGACAGACATGGCATCTCACAGAGGATTTCTGACGTGCTTGCTCCTCTTTCTCTCTCGCGCTGATTTCTTGCTGCTCCTTTTCTCGGAGTTCCCTTTCAGCTGCTTTCTTCTCCTTCTCCTATCCCGTCATGATGAGATTATCCACGTCAGACCCAAGTTACATGTACCCTCTCTTTCTTCATCTTCTTCTTCAGTTTCTCTTTCATCTTCTTCATCTCTGCCAATGCAGCTGCTTCTTCTTCTGCTTTCTGTTGAGCAATCCTAGCCTGTGAATGGCGTTATGGTGGGCAGGGCTCACATAACAGAACCTCCTCCTCCTGCTGTCTCTTCGCCTCAAGATTCTTCTGCTTTTCTTCTTCTTTGTGCTCCAGAAAATTCTTGAGCTTGATTGCATCTTCCACCTCCTGTGCCCAACTTCATTCACACCATCCAAGTTCCACCGGCCTTCACTTGCCTGCACTGCAGCTGCTACTTCCCATTCTTTCTCCTCCTCTTCAGCTCTCAACCTTTCAGAAGCTTGGACCGCAGCTTGCTCCAGCTCAGCTTCTTGGTTCTGCAAGGTTGTGAACAACATGCTGACGACAGGAAGGCGGTGGGACCTCACGTTGGATGTGCTCGATCACATGGGCGCGATTACGCTCCCTCTGCGCTGCTTCTTGTCTTCTTGCCTCCTCCTGTCTTAACCTCCTGCTTTCCTGCTTCTGTCTCCTCACCTCTGCTTCTCTCTCTGCCTGCTCGATGCAGGTCACCTGACAAGGACCCCGAGCTCGTCCTGCCCCACCTGAGCTGCCAGTCGCTCTGCAACCCTGACAAAGGAGTCGGAGTCCTCTAGCGACGCGTCTCGGAGATCTGCCAGGATGTTGGAATGATCTATCAAGTCGGGAAAATCTGTTTCCTCCATGGTCCAGCCTTGCTTGCGACGCTCCCATGGGTCAACCTCGTCTTTGTCGTCGTCTATGACTACCAAACCTGGGCCTTGCCCACTAGCAGGCTCCTTCCTCACGACCTTCGAGCATGCACGGCGAGGGTTCTCCTTTCTCCGGAATTGGAAGAGACCAAGGAGGGCAAGCGAAGCCTCCCTCCTCAAGTTCCGTGCCCTCGTGTCATCGACGGAACTCCCCTCCCCGGCACTTTGATGGCTTGCTGAAGATCGAAGGCCTCGGTGACAGAAATCCTTCCATGGAGCTGTCTTGAAGCACCTATCTCCATGCAGTGCTTGTCCAACCGCAGGCAGTCCTCGCGCGTGAGCATCCTCCGGTTGTAGGGGTTCTCGAACCTCCCTTGCGAGATCATGTACTCTGCCAGCACCTGCCCGTCAAACAAGTGCTTCTTCCCTCCCGCCATGGGCAGCCCTTTCTCATCGAGCATGGGGAGCTGGAAGGGAGGGACTGGCAGGTCTCGGAGGGGTTGCAGAGTTATGGGATCCTCCTCCTCCTCCTCCCTCCACCATCGGTCTCCCATGGATGATGATTGCGCGTCGGGTAGTTTTGCAGGACAAAAAAAGGACCTTGTCCGGCGATCGCGAGACATGCAGGGAACAGTGCATGGAAGCAGTATAGGAGGGGAGAGGTGGAGAGGAAGGAAGGGGTTGGGAGGAAGGGATAGAGGTGGATAGGGAGAGCAAGAGGTTGAGAGAGGTGAGAGAGCGAAGGAAAGGACGAGAAGAAGGAGGGAGGGCGTGACTGAGGAGGTGGAGGCATGTGATGTGAAAGCATGCGAGTGCGAGGTCATCAGGATGGGTCGTGAAGCGGGAAAGGGAGCGAGACAGGCAGGCAGTGTCATGGAGATGTAAAGATACACCGTCAGGGTGTTGATGTTGAGGGACAAGGCAAGAACAGCAGGGACTGTCTGCGTCCTGCGAAACTTGAAGACATATCAACCTGAGAGCTTGTCAACAGAGAAGGAGCCCAGCACTACAGGCAGTGATCAGCATGGCGAGTACAGGAGGGCAAGCTCCTGCTGAACCAGCGGTAACGACCGAGAACCTTCGTCTTCGCCTTGCTCATTCTTGTACAGCCTGCAGCCGGTGCGGGACGCGCGGTTAAAGGAGCTGAGATGTTTGCTGCTCTTCCTCAGATGGCGATCTTCATGCTCATGTGAATGCACAGGAGGGGGAAAGGGGAGGAGAGGAGGAGGAGGAGGAGGAGGAGGAGGAAAGCGAGGGAGCGAGGGAGCGAGGGAGCGAGGGAGCGAGGGAGCGAGGGAGCGAGGGAGGGAGGGAGGGAGGGGGGGAGGAGCGTCTCACTCTGTCACAGAAGGAAGCTTGTCTGCGTGAGCTCAAGGCCTTCAAGATCCTTGGCGGTTGTTGATCTCAAGCATCCCAACAAAACTTGATGCTGCTGCTGCTC